TCTCAACAAGACCCTGAGTCGCCGCCCGTGAACGGCCTTTCTGGCTCCTGATCAAGCTGCTTAACAGCCATGATCCCAGAGACTCAGGAGCAAATCTCAGAACCCAGCAGGTTTTGGTAGAAATCCCTCCAGATTTAATTGTTAAAATTTCGGAATTTCAAAATCGCGTGGCCACTACTGCAGTCATGCGGCGTCATATGTTATTCATAGCCAGCAATAGAAAATAAATTGTCTACCATTGCCTTTTCAGTAGATCTGAGTGTTGGGGAAAAATCCCAAATAATAATGTTGGGTCTGGTGTCAAAATAATGAATGTAATCAAAGTAGAGAGAGAGTAATGTGGAAATCATCTGCTCCACAGGTAGGGGGAGGGTGTGGGTTGGGGGTATACTAGGGTTTTTGGTGGTGGAGAATGGGCGCTGGTGAAGGTACCGGTGTTTCTTTGTACGACGGAGATTTAAACCCGAAGACTTTGTAACTGTTCTCACGTTGATTCAATAAATAAAATTGTAAAGAATGAAAAAAAGGTAAGGTGGAGTTCATGCCCAATTCAATCAGCTAATCAGTGGCTGAATAAATAGCAGTACTCCTACATTAAAAAAAAGTTTCAATATAAAAAAAGTATTCAAGTCAGAACCATTGAGAAATATATAATAAATGCATATTCACTGTATCACTGTATCACTGTCCTCCCATTGTTCATCGATTTGCTCGAGCGGGCCCAGTAACGTCTCCATTGGAGATTTTGTTGTTACTGTGTTTGGCATATTGAATACATCACGGGTAGATTGCCAATGCATATTAGACAATGAATTATTAATTTTGTTAGGTGTGATAATATTAGGTTACAAAACATTAAATGTTAAAACAGTAATGTGTATTTAGGTAAGTCGCAATGAAATACGTTTGTGATTTTCTTTAAAATGCTTTCGGGTCTGGAGAGATAGAACGGCAGGCAGGGCCCTTGCCTTGCACCCACAGTACTCCCTGTGATTACCCAGAACTGCTAGGTATGATTACTGAACAGAGCCAGGAATAAGTGTGAGCACCAATGGGTGTAGCACTCCAAACCCTTTCGTCTAATCACACTAAAAACCAAAAAACCTTCAGCAGAAGATGTAAATAAAGCTAAGAAAAAGAAGAATGGCAAGTCAAGGTGGTGAACAGGAGATTCTTACTCTCAGAGGGTGGGGGGCAGAGAAAGGCTATTGACGACTTGCCTACTTTATTCATTTGACCTCAGCTAGCGTCAGTTTATCTGGAAAATGAAAGGATTAAACTAGTTGTTTTGTCCTTTCCAGTTCTGACATGATGTACAACAAAAAGTTATAACCTCAAATGACTACCATACCCAAGCAGGTCATTCAAATGAATAAATTTTCTGTTTAAAGGGGGAGAATTGAAGAGATAGTACATCGGACAGTGGGAAAGGCACTTGGTTATTTGTTCCCCAGCACTTTTTGTTTGTTTTTGTTTTTGGGTCACACCCGGTGATGCACCGGGGTTACTCCTGGCTCATATACTCAGGAATTACTCCTGGCGGTGCTCTGGGAACCATATGGGATGCTGGGAATTGAACCCAGGTTGGCTGCGTGCAAGGCAAACGCCCTAGCTGTTGTGCTATGGCTCCAGCCCTCCCCAGCACTCTTATGGTACCCAGCGTCCTCCAGGAGTGATGCCTGAGCTCAGAGCCAAGAGTAAGTCTCATCACCACATCTATCTATCTATCTATGCATCTATCAATGCATCTATCTGTCTATGCATCTATCTTTCTATCTATAGAGAGAATCTTTATTTTTTTTTCCCCTTTATTTTATTTTATTTTTTTTTAAAGTTGTAGATTTACAATTTTTTGTGCTTTGGTTTCAATTATACAATGATCAGATACCCATCCCTCCACCAGTGCCCATTTTCCACCACCATGGATAATATCCCTCCCACCCCCATCCCCCCATCCCCCCGTCTCTGTGGCAGGGCAATCCCCTGTGTTCTCTCTCTCCTTTTGAGTGTTGTGGTCTGCAAAAGAGGCATTGAGTGGCAAACATGTTCAGTCCATAGTCTACTTTCGACATGCATCTCCCCTCCTGGGAGGATCCTCCAAACATCCTTTATTTGGTGCTCCCTTCTCTATCTGAATAGCCCTTTCCTCTAGGATACCCGGCTGGCCTCTAAGTTATGGAGTAATCCTCCTGGTGCTGATCTCAGCTATTCTTGGGTATTAATCTCATACTTTGTTACTTTATATCCCCCAGATGAATGCAATCTTTCTATGTCTATCCCTCTCTTTCTGACTCATTTCGCTTAGCATGATACTTTCCATATTGTACCACTTGTATGTAAATTTCATGACTTCATCTTTTCTAAGAGCTACATAGTACTCCATTGTGTAGATGTACCAAAGTTTCTTTAACCAGTCATCTGTTCTTGGGCATTCAGGTTTCTTCCAGTTTCTGGCTATTGTAAAGAGGGCTGCAATCAACAAACAAGTGCAGATGTCACTTCGACTATACATTTTTGCCTCTCTGGGATATATTCCCAGGAGTGGTATTGCTGGGTCAAATGGGAGCTCAATTTCTAATTTTTTGAGAATCGTCCATACTGTTTTCCAGAAGGGCTGAACCAGTGGACATTCCCACCAACAGTGAAGGAGTGTCCCTTTCTCGCCACATCCACGCCAGCATCGGTTGCTTTTGTTCTTTTGAATGTGGGCCAGTCTCTGAGGTGTGAGATGGTATCTCATTGTGGTTTTGATCTGCATCTCCCTGATGATTAATGATGTAGAGCATTTTCTCATGTGCTTTTTTGCCATTCGGATTTCTTCTTTGAGAAAGTTTCTGTTCATTTCATTGCCCCATTTTTGGATGGGGTTGGATGTTTTCTTCTTGTGGAGTTTAACCAGTATTTTGTATATCCTGGATATCAACCCCTTGTCAGATGTGTATTCGGTGAATATCCTTTCCCATTCTGTAGACTGTCTTTGTACTTTGGTCACTGTTTCTTTGGAGGTGCAGAAGCTTCTTAGTTTAAGATAGTCCCATTTATCTATCTCTGTTTTCACTTGCTCGGCCAGTGGCGTGGCATCTTTGAAGATACCATTAGCTTCAATGTCATGGAGGGTTTTGCCAACTTTATCTTCAATGTACCTTATGGTTTCTGGTCTGATGTTGAGGTCTTTAATCCATTTTGATCTTACTTTTGTACATGGTGTTAGGCAGAGTTCTGAGCCTATTTTTTTGCATGTAGCCGTCCAGTGATGCCAACACAATTTATTAAAGAGGCTTTCCTTACTCCACTTCACATTACTTGCACCTTTATCAAAGATTAGATGAGCATATGATTGAGGAGAGATGTCAGTGTATTCAACCCTGTTCCATTGGTCTGCAGTTCTGCCTTTGTTCCAGTACCATGCTGTTTTAATTATTACTGCTTTGTAGTACAGTTTGAAGTTCGGGAGGTTGATTCCTCCCATTTTCTTTTTCCCAAGAATTGCTTTAGCTATTCGTGGGGGCTTATTGTTCCATATAAATTTCAAGAGTGTTTGCTCCATTTCTTTGAAGAATGTCATGGGTATCCTTATAGGGATTGCATTGAATTTATACAATGCTTTCGGTAGTATTGCCATTTTGACAATGTTAAGTCTCCCGACCCATGAGCAGGGGATATCTTTCCATTTCCTCATGTCCTCTTTTATTTCCTGAAGTAGCGTTTTGTAGTTTTCTTTGTACAGGTCCTTTACTTCCTTAGTTAAGCTGATTCCTAGGTACTTGATTTTCTGGGGCACAATTATGAATGGGATTGTTTTTTTCATGTTGCTTTAGAGAGAATCTTTAGCCCAAGAATGCCATTTGATTTGGACTCAGCATTTCCGAGCTTTATATTTAGTTTGTAGATTAGGAAGAAATAGAGCTCCCCATGACATATTTGATGTGCCAAACACAGTAACAACAAGTCTCAAAATGGAGACGTTACTGGACCCGCTGGGGCAAATTGATGAACAATGGGAGGACAGTGTTTGTTTGTTTTCATAGTAAAATAAAATAAATTAAGTGTAGCACTGTTCTCCCGTTGTTCATCGATTAGGTCTAGAGAGCCCAGTAACGTTTCCATTGTGAAACTTATTTTGTTACTATGTTTGGCATATTGAATACACCACAGGGAGCTTGCCAGGCTTTGCCATACAGGCGAAATACTCTCAGTAGCTTGCCAGGGTCTCGGAGAGGGGCAGAGGAATTAACCCCGTATGGTCTGCAGGGTTGGGTTGGCCGCGTGCAAGGCAAACACCCTACCCGCTGTGCTATCGCTCCAGCCAGCAAATTGTTAATGAATAAAAATGCAAAGAAAACTTTTTTTTTTAAACAAACAAAAAGACATTTCTTGACTTAAGGACCAGGAGGGCCCACTAAACGGCGCGCTGCAGTTCAGGAGCACTGGGCATGGATCCTGCTTCAAAATAGCGTCTGTTTCATCTGGAGAGTCCGTCTTCACAACTCCACAAACACCACTTGGAGAAGAAAAAAAAAAGATTTGTTTTCTTGGTCCGCTCTCCCCTGCCGCGGGCGCTCAGGAGGTGGCGGCCACCTGGACACGGTCGCATCCCGCGGCCACCAGCAGGCACGACCGACTCCACCCCCCCCACACACCCCCCCCCCTTGCAGAGCCCGACGAGCAGCTAGGCGGGTGCAGTCTCAAGGAAGCCCGGGAAGTGGGGGGGCGGGGTGGTGGTGGCTAAAACTATTAGCTTTCCCAACTGCTTGCGAGGGCCAAGCATTCCCCGCAAATCCGGCATTCCAGGCAGGAAGCCTGGGCCCGGGCGCTGCGCTTCCGGCTTGGTAACTAAGGACGCGGACGGTTGCTAGGGCCGCGGTGGAGCCTGCTGCGCGGCTTTTCCCCGGGGCTCCGCTGCTCTATTCCGGCGCGAGGTGAAAGCGGATTTTTTTTTTTAAAGATTTTCCCTTCTTTGTTTTGTCTGCCTGTCTGGACTTTGCGAGCATTTTGCCAGCATGACCAGCAGGTTCTTGGAGGAGCTGAAGTGGGAGGATGGGCTCTCCATCCCGGTGGCGAACGAGGAAAACAAGGAACTGGAAGACCAGGTAAAGAGCGCGGGGGAGAGGAGGGAGGCTTTGGGGGGCGCTTTCTAGTTTGCCGCGATCCTCCCACCCCTTTGCCTCGTTTCCCCCCTTAATCCCATCTGTGTCCGGAGCGCCCCACTCCTCCCTCTCTCCCCACTCCAGTGCCTGCGCTTATAAAAGATACTGAAACGGAAACTGTGAAATGTGCGGAAACGGATGATCCTGACACTCAGGGTCCTGAAGGCAGAATCTTTAGAAAGACTCTCATTTCACTTCTCTTTTCCACCTGCTGGTTTTCAGCCCCCTGGGCAGGACACAAGGACCATGCTTCCAGAGCCCACTTGGTAGGCGCGAGGCAGCGTTTTGCTAAGGGACCTGGAGGTAGCAAGCGATTTGCGGAAGCAAACAGGCTTTGGTTAACTTTTAACTTTTCTTTGAGTGTCTGCACACAGTTTAAGGTTGAAAGCGATTTTAAAAGTTTGAAGGCCGATGTTTTGTTAATAATGTAAAAATGTACTTTCACAACTTCTCCAAGTAAGCATTAAATTGTCCTGGGGTATTTTCACATTGTAAGGCATTGTAAAGACTCCTGCTAACCTACTTGCGACCAATTCACAGTAGTTCTGAAAAATTCAATTATAAACATCTCAGCAGACTTTTGAAAATCTTAACAGGTCAGTTTAAAGTTCCAACGCATAGCAATTTGTTGTGTAGAAGAGGGTGCAAGAACAGATAATGTTTGTGCTATAGGATAGAGTGTACTGTTTCCCTTCTAAAATGAAAAGAAACTTTTTTTCCCCTTCTTCTTGGTTCATACCCAGCTATGCATAGGGATTACTCCTGACTCTGCACTCAGGAATTACTCCTGGTGGTGCTCGGGGTACCATATGGGATGCTGGGAATCTATCCCGGGTCAGTCTCCTGTAAGACAAACGCTTTACCCACTGTACTATAGCTCCAGCTCCATGAAAAAACTTTTTTTTTTTAAATGTAAACTACTGTAAAGTTTTCTAAAGTATTTGCTCCTGTCTACTTAGTTCTGCCTTATTTACTCAAGGCTGTAGTTTCTTTTTTTTTTTTTCAGTCTTTATTTTGGGGCTACACCTGGCGATGCTCAGGGGTTGCTCCTGGATCTTCACTCAAGTATTTCTCCTGGTGCGTGGAATCCTACCTGGGTGGGTCACATGCAGGGCAAGTGCCCTCAGGTCAGGTCAGCACTGTCTCTCTAGCCTGAAGGCTGTAGTTTCTGTTTTGTGTTTTCAATGGTGTAACATTAGGAAGTACAGGACATTTAGCACCGAGTACTGAGGAATGAAGTGAAGAACTATCCAGCCCTGGGTTCAGATTCTACTTAGGAGTACCGAGCCTGTTTCTTTTCCTGTAATGGACATATAATGACTATCCCACTGTGTTGTAATTAGAACACTAAGTTGACATTCTACTCACACAATGGATTTTAGTCCAAAACAAACACTGTCCTCCCGTTGTTCATTGATTTGCTTGAGCGGGCCCAGTAATGTCTCCATTTTGAGACTTCTTGTTACTGTGTTTGGCATATCAAATACGTCATGGGTAGCTTGCCAGGCTTTGCTGTGCGGGCAAGATACTCTCGGTAGCTTGCTGGACTCTCTGAGAGGGGCGGAGGAATCGGCCCGGCTCAGCCGGGCTGGCTGCACACAAGGCAGTAGACCTACCGCTGTGCTATCGCTCCAGCCTAACTATTTTAAGACATTACAGAATATTAAAAGGAATAATGAGGTCCATTATCACTTGACCTGATTAAGTGCAAATCATTAAAATCTTGAAAGTTTAAGATATTCAAACCTAAAAAAGGGGATAAAAATATTAGATATTATCCTCTCCCCCCCAAAGGTGCCCTTTGAGAGAAATGACAATAACTAAAAAGTTATTGGTAGAAAGGACTGTAGCTATAAAGACACCAAATCCAAAGAGAATTACTATAACAATGAAAATCTGCTGTCTGCTGATTTTGACAAAAATCTAATTTACTTAAAGGAGAATAAAAAAAATGCTGTCTTTCAGGTGTTCCTTGATCACAAGAGTTTTGAAAAATTTGAGTTTTTGTTTGTTGGGGGTCATACCTGGCAAATCTCAGGGCTTACTCCTGGCCCTGCACTCAGGAATCACTCCATGCCATGCTTCGCCTGCCATATGAGATGCCAGGGATCGAACCTGGGTTGACTGCAAGCAAAGCAAATGCCTTACCCACTGTACTATGGCTCTAGACCTGATCACAAGAGATATTGACTACTAAAATTGTCTAACATTAAAAACCTGTACATAAAAGATAAAAAAGAAAGGTTTATACTACTGTTTTAAAAGTTATTTGTGTCTAATATCTTCTGTATCAGTGCATTCTCTGCTCTTTTATCTTTCAAAGAAAAAAAGAGAAAAGGTCACTTCCACCTTCTTTTATCTCATTAGAAATTAATTTTATAATTTTCATACTTTGAATGTTTGCTTTCATTTTCATTCTATTGAGTACCCTTACTTTTTAAAAAAATTTTTATTAGTGAAACACCATGAGGTACAGTTGTAGACTTACAAATTTTTGTGCTTGGGTTTAAACTATACAATGATTGAGTACCCATCCCTCCACCAGTGCCCATTCTCCACCACCACTAGTCCCAGGATCCCTCCCACCCCTCACCCCCCCATCCCACCCTGCCTCTGGTAGGGCAGTCCCTTTTGTTCTCTCTCTCCTCTTGAGTGCTGTGGTTTGCAAAAGAGGCAGTGAGTGGGTATCGTGTTTGGTCTATAGTCTACTTTCAGCATGCATCTCCCATCCTGGGGGGATCTTCCCAACACCCTTTATTTGGTGCTCCCTTCTCTATCTGAGCTGCCTTTACCCCTAGAGTGTGCGGCTGGCCTCCGAACCATGGAGCAAACCTCCTGGTACTTATCTCGGCTATTCTTGGTTGTTAGTCTCCTATTTTGTTACTTTATGTTCCCCAGATGGATGCAATCTTTCTATGTCTGTCCCTCTCTTTCTGACTCATCTCACTTAGCATGGTACTTTCCATGTAGTACCCTTGTATGTAAATTTCATGAGTTCAACCTTTCTAACAGCTACATAGTACTCCATTGTGTAGATGTACCAAAGTTTCTTTAACCAGTCATCTGTTCTCGGGCACTCAGGTTTTTTCCAGATTCTAGCTATTGTAAACAGTGCTGCAATGAACAAAAAAGTGCAGATGTCACTTCGACTATACTTTTTTGCCTCTCTGGGATATATTCCCAGGAGTGGTATTGCCAGGTCAAATGGGAGCTCAATTTCTAATTTTTTGAGAATCGTCCATACTGTTTTCCAAAAGGGCTGAACCAGTCGACATTCCCACCAGCAGTGAAGGAGGGTCCCTTTCTCGCCACATCTGCACCAACACTGGTTGCTTTTGTTCTTTTGGATGTGGGCCAGTCTCTGTGGTATGAAATGATATCTCATTGTGGTTTTGATCTGCATCTCCCTGATGATTAATGATGTGGAGAATTTTCTCATGTGCCTTTTAGCCATTCGGATTTCTTCTTTGAGAAAGTTTCTGCTCATTTCGTCGCCCCATTTTTTGATGGGGTTGGATGTTTTCTTCTTGTGGAGTTCAACCAGTTTAAGCATGTGATCATCTAATCTTTGATAAGGGGGAAAGAAAAGTGAAGTGGAGCAAGGAAAGCCACTTTAACAAACTATGCTGGCAAAACTGGACGGCTATATGAAAAAAAGTGGGCTCAGATCTCTGCCTAACATATACTTGTATTTCCTTGATATCAAACCCTTGTCAGATGTGTATTCGGCGAATATCCTTTCCCATTCTGTAGACTGTCTTTGTATTTTGGTCACTGTTTCTTTAGAGGTACAGAAGTTTTGTAGTTTAAGATAGTCCTATTTGTCTATTTCTGTTTTCACTTGCTTGGCCAGTGGCGTGACATCTTTGAAGATACCATTAGCTTCAATGTCATGGAGGGTTTTGCCAACTTTGTCTTCAATGTACCTTATGGATTCCTGTCTGATGTTGAGGTCTTTAATCCATTTTGATATTACTTTTGTACATGGTGTTAGGCAGAGATCTGAGCCCACTTTTTTTCATGTAGCCGTCCAGTTTTGCCAGCACAATTTGTTAAAGAGGCTTTCCTTGGTCCACTTCACTTTTCTTGCCCCCTTATCAAAGATTAGATGATCATATGCTTGGGGGAGATGTCAGTATATTCAACCCTGTTCCATTGTCAGTACTCTTGCTTTTTATTAATTTTTAAATATTTAATATTTTGATTGTTCTTAAATGTAGGCAGTTCAGGTTGTTGGGTTCTTTCCTCAAATGTCTGTGTTATTACAGGTTCACATAATTGTGTTTTTAACTCCTTTTATCCGAGGTTGTCTGATTCCTCGATTTGCCTGACCTGAGAGGGAGGGAGGGAGTGAGAGAGGAAGAGAGGGAGAGAGGGAGAGGAGAGAGGAATGGAGGGAGAGAAAGAAGAGAGCAAGAGAGAGAGAGAGAGAGAGAGAGAGAGAGAGAGGAGAACTCTTGTCTTTTTCTCTTCCTCTACTGGCGTGAACTAATTCCAGTAGGAGATTTCCACCCTCATATCCACCTAATTTAAGCCTAATTTACCTCCAAGAGATGCCCCCCCCCCTCATTTAATTGGGGCATTAGGGGATCCAGCATTTCGGGCTACATAAATATTTAGTTTAAAACAACTAGTCAAAAAAATAAAGAGCTCCGAGTAGTGCTTAGAAGGCTCAGGGCTTCACGCGCTAGTCTCAGCCAACCTGGCCATGGTTTAATATGAGGCCCTGAGGATTCAATGTTGCTCTGACCTTGCAATGCCAGGGGATTACTCATGCCACCCAGTAGTGCTAAGGGCCTTCAGGGCTATCCACAGGATTGCTTGGGAGACTTTGTGTTGCCAGGGATCAAACTTGGGAGGGCATTTGCCAACTATGCATTTTGCATCAGAATTTACTCTCTATTGTCTCCTATTCTGCTAACAATTAACATCTCCTTCCAAACTCCCAATAAATTATGAGCTGGAGAGACAGCTCAAAAGGTTGAAATATATGTTTTGCATGCAGGAAACCTGGGTTGTTCCCTGGTGGTGCCTCATGGGTCCCTGAATGTCACCAGGAGTGAATCCAGCATATATTTGGGAATGGAGCCCCCAATCCCCCAACAAATTAAAAAAACCTGAAATTAGCAAAAATTAATAATGCACACTAGATATAAAATCAATGTAAGGATATATGTATTATTATTATTAACTTTAGAATATAGGATATGACAAATAAGCTATTTCCTTTCTTCCTTAGCTGAAAATTTGCATTTTTGTTTTCTTTCTTTGCACGTAATTGAACTGTGCTGTGCAAATTCTTCGTTGTAGCCCCACCGAGGGCGTCAGCTCAAGAATTCAGGGAGACACTGTTCAGTTATGTTGGGCTTTCACATTGTTTTGAAAGTTGATTTATTCTGATGGTCCCAAGAATTTATAACTTCCTACAATGTTGTGCTTTATATTTATGTAATTTGGCCTTGATTTCAGATTCTAGTCAAATAGCTCAGGCTTTATGTTTTTGTTATACCTTTTGTATGTTTTTCTTTGCCTTAGAGATTTTCTGATTTAGTTATGAAATACACTCATTTTTCCTTTCATAACATAGTTTTACTGTATAAAAATACACTTTCATAGTTTATTCTATTAATGCTGCAAGTGTCAAAGTTTTATTGATTTATTCTATAATTTTGTGCTAATTTATGTTATGCTCTTTGGAGGACATCCCTGGCAGTGCTCAAGGGTACTACTGAGTCAGTGCTTGGGGATTCCTTAAGGTGGTGTTTAAGGGACCATGTATACCAGGAATCAAACCCAGGCCATCTGCATACAAAATGTGTGCTCCAGCTACTGAATTATCTCTCAACCCTATGATGCTAATTTTCTCACAGTAATCTGATATTAATTTTAGCACTCTTTAACAATACTTTAAAAATCAGCCACTTTTAGAATCTCCCATGGATAAAGATGCAGAGTAATTGCGGACTTAATTTTGGATTGGCTTATGATCTATTAACATGACAAATACTTAGCAGGACCTTAATCTTAGCATTTATGTTTTATCATTTATAAATAAGTGTGAAGATAAACCCTTAACACTCCAGAATATTGTAAATCTCTAAAATATACTAAAAATAAATTAAAATAATTCTTACTTTTTTTATAAAAGTAAATGCATTTTAAAAATTAGTTTGATATAAAGTTTGTAAAATCTTCATAACTGATTGGTGAAGCTTAATAAATAATTTATTAAATTAATAATTTTATCAATAAATTTAGCATGTATTATTTATTTATTTACAGTTATCCAAGCTGCAAAATGAAAAATCACGCCTTCAACATCAGTTACAAGACTATGAAGATCGAATTAATGCAATGTCTTCTCACTTCAAAAATGTTAAGCAAGAATTCAGCTTTACTCAGGTATGTAAATATTGAAATTTATGTTTATTATATCAAGTGTGACCATGGAACATTTCACATTACATTTTTCTCTGTGAATTTTAGATATATAAATTTTTAGCATTCATAAAATGAATCATTGTGAACATAGACTTGAGCCAGAAAATAGGTAGAATGAAAGACTGAGAAACTTACTGCTGCTTCAAAGTACAAATAGTAATTCATTTGAAAAAATGTTTATTACCATTCAATTAAGTATAACTTTAAACAGATAATATGAGACAAAAATAATGATGGTTCTGAGAACGATGGCATTAAGTAGAAAGTATATAATATATATTAGAATTTTTGTTATACTTTTTAATTTTTATTAGTGAAACAGTATGAGGTACAGTTGTAGACTTACAAAGTTTTGTGCTTGGGTTTCAGTTATACAATGATCGAGTACCCATCCCTCCACCAGTGCCCATTTCCAACCATTACGGATCCCAGTATCCCTCCCAGCCCCCATTCACCCCTCCCACCCTGCCTCTGTGGCAGGGCATTCCCCTTTGTTCTCTCTCTCCTTTTGGGTGCTGTGGTTTGCAAAGGAGGCATTGAGTGGCAATCATGTTCAGTCTATAGTCTACTTTCAGCATGCATCTCCCATCCTGGGAGGATCCTCCCAACTCCCTTTATTTGGTGCTCCCTTCTCTATCTGAGCTGCCTTTTCCCCTAGCATGTGTAGCTGGCCTCCAAGCTATGGAGCAAAATTCCTGGTACTAATCTCGGCCATTCTTAGGTGTTAGTCTCCTATTTTGTTACTTTAGCATATGGCCTATTTTGGAAAATGTTCCGTGTGCACTGGAGAAGAATGTGTATTCTTTCCTTTTGGGGCGTAAAGCCCTGTATAGGTCCATAAGCCCTCTCTCTTTTATTTCTTCTTTCAAAGCCAATGTTTCCTTGCTGAGTTTTGTTCTTGTTGATCTATCTAATGGTGATAAGGCGATGTTGAAGTCTCCAGCTACTATTGTGTTGCTAGCAATGGCCTCCTTAAATTTTGTTAGCAATTGTTTAAAATATTTAGCTGTTCCCTCATTAGGTGCATATACATTTATGAGTGTGATTTCTTCCTGCTCTATGTATCCCTTGATGAATAGAAAATTGTCTTTACTGTCCCTTCTAATTATTTTCAACCTGAAATTGATATTGCCAGATACTAGTATGGCCATCCCCGCTTTTTTGAGGGAGCTGTTTGCTTGCAGGATTGTTTTCCATCCTTTAACTTTGAGTCTGTGTTTACTCTGACTGTTGAGATGAGTTACTTGTAGGTAGCAGAATGTTGGGTTCTGTCTCTGAATCCATTTTGCCACTCTGTGTGTCTTAATTGAATTTAGACTGTTTACGTTGACAGAGATTATTGTTATGGGGTTTTGTGTCATCTTTATGTAAGGATCTGTTGTGCTTGTAGGGTTTGTCTTATCTTATAGTAGCCCCTTTAGCCCTTCTTTTAGGTTTGGTTTTGAGTCTATGAAGTTCTTGAGCTGCTGTTTATCCAGAAAATAGTGTACTGTTCCTTCGAGTTTGAGTGAGAGTTTAACCGGATAGAGAATTCTTGGTGCATCGTTCATTTCAGTGAGTTTTTTCACTATATCCCACCATTGTCTTCGGACTTGGAGGGTTTCCTCTGATTGGTCTGCTGTGAATCTAAGGAGTGCTCCTTTGTATGTGATTTCCTTCTTTGCCCTTGCTGCATGCAGTATTGTGTCTCTATCCGCGGCATCCATCATTCTAACTATGGTATGTCTTGGAGTGTTTTTGTTAGGGTCTCTTTTAGCTGGCACCCTTCAGGCTCCTTGAATCTGAATGGCTGCAATGTCCAGTTCTGGGAATTTTTCAACAATGATTTGATTAATAGCGCAGTGGTAAGGCGTTTGCCTTGCGTGCAGCCGGCTCGGCCTAGCCGGGTTCGATTCCTCTGCCCCTTTCAGAGAGCCCGGCAAGCTACCGAGAGTATCTCGCCTGCACAGCAAAGCCTGGAAAGCTACTCATGATGTATTCAATATGCCAAACACAGAACAACAAGTCTCACGATGGAGACATTACTGGGCCCACTCGAGCAAACTGATGAACAACGGGAGGACGGGACCATGACCGATTTGTTTAACCGTGGCTTTTTCATTGGGATTGTTTTTCTGACCTTCTGATACTCCAATGATTATAATGCTGTTCCTCTTGGAATCATCTACCACGATTCTGATTCACTCTAGAGCTATTTTGAGGTCTGTTGCCATTGTTTGTTGTTGCCTGTAGGCTTTGTGCAGCTCATCTTCCAGTTCATTGATTCTGTCTTCCCCTCTGGTCATTCTACTGTTGATGCCACACTCGTCCCCCCCCCCCCCCCACGTGATGGGGATTTGCGTTGTTTCTTTATGTTGGTGTGGAGGTATGGGGACTGAGATGTTACACTAGATTGCTTGGTATGACTAAACTCCTGTGGCTGCCTGAGTGTTGGCCGCCAGCCCCAAATTAGGCCACGCCCACTTCTACAGAAGCCACGCCCACTTCTGAAGAGGCCACGCCTTCATGGGTACCTGGTATGTGGGCAGGGTATCAGCTGGGAGGTGAAGAAGACCAGCACAGCCCTTGGGATCGAAGAGGAAGAGACTCAGGGTTGCTGGGCATTCCAGAGTCCTAGAGGATGCTTGGGGCGTGTGCATGGAGAAAGCCAAGTCCTGGTTTCAAATATTGGTGGGTTAACTGACCTGGGGAGGGGGGGCAGAGGGAAGAAGCCTACTTTTTGGTATGTCTATTTTTAATTTTTAAATAAACAATCCACTAAGTCAATTTTGAATGGAGGAAAATTTTCCATATATTTAACTGGCTCTTTGAGGTACATGGTATTTTAATCTTTAAGAAATGAAATGTTTGTCTCTTATGTGGCCAACTGGGTTCAATCCCTGGCACCATATATGGTGTCCCAAGCAACACCACCAGTGATTCTTATCACAGTGCCAGAAGTAAGCCCTGAGCACTGCTGGGTGTGACCAAGAAAAAAAAGAGAATTGAAATATACAAAGAAAATTATGCTAAATAGTATTCAGAATTCTTTTATCAATATGTAGGATATGTTAGAATAGTAACATAGTAATTAAAATTTTAAAAGCTACGGTGACGAAGGAAGCATCCATTTTTATAGAAAATCTATTTGTGTGTGGATCCTCATTCATGATGATGCTCAGAAAGCTTCCCCAATCAGAATGGAGATTTTACAAACTTTATATAAAAATTTTAAAATGTATTTACTTTTATGAATAAAGCAACAAGTATGTGACTAATTTTCTTTTTAACAGATTTTATTGATTTACAATCTTCTGGGGTTTTAAGGGTTTATCTTCACACTTTTTGTATATGTGATCATACTTATCCAGAGTTCCAATGTCTATTATGAATAGCACTGTAGCACTGTCCTCCCGTTGTTCATCAATTTGCTCGAGCGGGCCCAGTAATGTCTCCATCGTGAGACTTGTTGTTACTGTGTTTGGCATATTGAATACGTCATGGGTAGCTTGCCAGGCTATTTGCTGTGCGGGTGAGATACTCTCAGTAGTTTGCTGGGCTCTCCAAAAGGGGCGGAGGAATCAAACCTGAACCAACTGGGTTGGCCCCGTGCAAGGCAAAATGCTTCTATAAATGTATATAGTGCAAATAGCCTTTCTAAGTAGTATTTTCTTATCCTTGTATACTGCCTTAGAATGGTACTGCTGACTCAGTTATGAATTTTCATATCATTTTGCATAGAAGTTGCACAAAGGGGCTGGAGCAATACTACAGCAGATAGGGCATTTGTCTTGCATGTGACTGACCCAGATTTGATCCCTGGTTCAATATGGTTCCCTGAGCCTGTCAGAAGTAATTCCTGAGTGCAGAGCCAGGAGTCAACCTTGAGCACTGCCAGATGTGACCCAAAACACAAACAAGAAACACACACAAAAAGAAGTTGCACCAATTTACAGTCCCAACACTTGTGTCTTTTGTATATATGCTATTTTCTTTGGTGATTAATGAGGTTATATCTTTTCTTTTTCTGTTTGTTTTGTTCAGCAAAGCCTGGCAAGCTACCTGTGGCATATTCAATATGCCAAACACAGTGACGATGAGTCTCGAAATGGAGACATTACTGGGCCCGCTCAAGCAAATCGATGAACAAAGGGAGGACAGTGTGTGTTTTTGTTTTGTTTGTTTGTTTGTTTTGGGGTCAAACCTGTGATGCTCAGGGCTTACTCCTATCTTTGCCCTCAGAGATCATACCTGTGGAGAGTGGGGAACTATATTGGGTGCTGGGAATCAAATCTGGGTAGGTTACATGCAAGGTAAGCACCTTCCTTGCTATACTATCTCTCTACTATTCCCTCACTCCCCATCTCATTTATATATTTTTGGTTTGATTCCCTTGCCACTGGGGTTGAGTTTCCAAATGCATCTAGGTTTTGAGGTCCTGGGGAATATAATGTTTTCTTCAATATATCTTATAGTTTGGAGTTCAATATCTAAGTCCATTTTGCATTACTTTTTCATGTAAGATTGTTACATAGTGATTTAATTTTATTTATTTCTATGTGGTTGTTGAGTTCTCTCAATATTTGTTGAAGAGATTATCTTACTGGTCTTGTCTCTTTGTTCTAAATTACAAATTTGTATACATGTGGGTTCATTTTTGGACCTTAATTTAAGTCTATTGGTCTGTAAGCCTGATTTTGTTCCAGTACCATATCGTTTGAGCACTATTTCTTTGTAGTATACTTTGAAATCAGCGCTTATGATGTTTACAGTTTTCTTTATTTTGTTTAATTATTTTGACTATTCTGGCCTTCAGTGGTTGCATACAAATTTTAAAGCTGGTGGTTTATTTCCTTTAAGAATGTTATTAGTTTATTGATAGAATTGCTTTGAATATGTGATTGATTTAGGTAAGATTGATTTTTAATTTTTTTCCAGTTTATAACCATAGAATTTTTTTGTTTCTTTTTCTATTTTGTTTAATAATACCACATAGTTTTCAATGCATAGTTCTTTCACCTACACTTTTAGGTTTTCTTTCCAGTGTTTTATGATATTTTATGTTTTTATTTATAAGGTTTTTGATATAATCATGACTAGTAATATTTTCTTTATTTCCTGTTTTTCCATATAGTTTTTATATAGAAACGTAGCAGATTTATGTGAATTGGTTTTGTAGCTTGCGACTTTACTAGACTTGTTAATTATTTCTATAGTTTTTTTGTGTAGTATTTAGAGTTTTATATGTGTATTCTGTCATTTGAAAGTAGTGATGGTTTTACTCTTTTAATCTGTATTCCATTTATGTTTTCCCTGTTTAATTATGCTGACAGGACATCCGTAACTAAGTTGAAAGGCAGTGGCAAAAGTGAACATTGCCTTTTTCCAGATCATTTTTTTGTTTTGGCCACACCTGGTGATGCACAGGGTTTACTCCTGGCTTTGCACTTAGGAATTACTCCTGGCGGTGCTCAGGGGACCATATGGGATGTTGGGAATCGAACCCGAGTCGGCCACGTGCAAGGCAAACACCCTACCCGCTATACTATCGCTTCAGCCCTGTCTTGTTTCGATCTTAAGTAAAAGTTTTAATTTTTCAATTTAGTTGTGCTTGCCATTATGTTGCAGTATATTCTTTTTTGTCTGTTTTTGAGCCACACCTAGTGAGTGCTTACGGCTTATTCTTGGCTCTGCACTCTGGCCGTATTCAGAGACCATAAACAACCATCTGCAAGTTGTCTGCAAGCCCTGCTAGCTATATTTGCTCTTCAGTCCCAACATATGTAAGAACATATGTAAGAAAGATCTATCTTAACTTTCAATTTACTATTGTGTAAGGTGTAAGATATGACTCCAGCTTCATTTTTTTTCTTGTGATAATTACGTTTTCCCGATGCCATTTGTTGAAGAAGCTGTCTTTACTTACTCAGCTCCTTTGTTGAAAATTAGTTTTCCTTAGATCTGGGGGTTGTCTTTAGGATTTCAAATCTAATCCATTGGTCAGAATCTCTCCTTCTGCTAGTTCTATGTTGTTTTGAATACTATAGTTTATAGTATAGTTTCAAGTAAGGTAGCGTGATATCTCCCCATTTATTAATTTATTAGTAAGACTTTGACTCTTTGAGGTGTTTCATGATTCCAGAACAAGCTTTGTGTCCATTTGAAGTTCTTGAAAAATCTCATCAGAATTTTGATGGTTGACCATGTGCAAGGCAAGTGCCCTACCCATTGTAATATCTCTCCAGTCCTACCATTACTATCTTGAAGAATTCTTTTATCTCTATTTTGTTTTTTTTAATCATGCATGGATTTTGGATTTTGTCAACAGCTTTCTCTGTGTTGATTTATTCATTATGATTTTATCTTTCCTTTTTACTAATATGGTATGTTACATTAATTTATTTGCATATGTTGACCCATCTTTGAATCCTGGGGTAAATCACACTTGATTATAATCTTTTTGATATATTCTTGGAATTGGCTCCCTAAGATATTGTTAAGGATTTTTTGCATCAGTGTTTACAAAGGAAATTGGTCTAAAGTTTCTTTTTTTTTTTTAGTATATTTGCTTTGAGTATTCTTGTAATGTTGGTTTCATAGAAGCTATTAGGAAGGATTCTTATTTCTTGTATATGTTGGAAGTGCTTGAGAGTAGAGTAGTATATCTTTAGAATTTTGATAGACCTTATCAATGAACCCATCTAGACCAGGGCTTTTGTTCTTGGGGAGAGTTTTGATTACTGTTTCAATTTCCTAGCTTTGTGGTTGACCTCTTCAGACTTTCTATTTCCCTCTTGTTCAGTTTTAAAGTTTACTCGTTCTAAGAATCTGTCCATTTTTTCTCATTTCTCCAGTTTAACAGCATAAAGTTGTTTATTGTAACCTCTCATAAAATTTTGAATTTCTGAGGGATCTATTGTAATTTCTCTTCTTTCATCTCTGATCTCATTTATTTGGACAGTTAAAATTGTTATTCTTGTGAGTATCACCAAGAAGGAGTTTGTCTATCTTATTCACGTGAAGAATCAGCTCTGATTTTATTGACTCTATTGTTTGTTGTTTTCTTGATTTCTTTTTCATTGACTTCTACTCTAGGTTTTTTTAAATTTTTCATTTTATTTTTTTATTTTTTCCATCTCCTAATTTTGGAATTCATTTGTTGATCCTTTCTAGGTACTTAAGGTGTGTGTTTAGGTTGTTGATTTGAGCTTTTTCTTCTTTCCTGCTGTATGCCTATTTTGCTATCAAAGTCTTTTAGTGCTGTTTTTGCTGTGACCTGTAGATTGTTTCTTCATTTTCCTTTGTTTTGAGAAATCCTTTTACTTTTTCTTGAGGCCTTTTTTAAATTCAGTTACTTTAATCTATGTACCTTCTTCAGATTGATTATTATTTGGTATGGAATGAGTATAGCTGTCTCATGCTTTTTTTCCCCCTATTTGGTCCATTATTATCTTACATGATTGTTTTCATCCTTTCACCCTGAACATTTTCATGGGAGAATTTAGTCATGAGTGTTCAGAAAAAATATTGACACAAATTAATTTAGCCTCATTTTCCTATGGAGACTTTTGGTTATTTTTCCCTGAGACGTTAATTTTTTGTGTGTGGGAAAATTTAGTTTGTAGTTTTAATCATTGTCGGATGGATTAGATGAGTTCTTGTTAGTCTGAGAATGTTTTTATCCCTTCTTCAGATCTGAATGATAGCCGTTCAGGGCAGAGGATCCGAGGGTCATGATTTTTCTCATTCTGTGTTCTGAGTAAAGAGTCCTAGGTTTAATTAAGATCTTTCTTAAGCTGTGTTGTAAATATAACATTCCATTCTTTTATTGCTAGTGTGATTTCAGATGAGAAATCTGTAGTGAGCTTTTTGTTGTTTCCCTTATATTTTAGATTTTGGTTTCGTCTTGCTGTTTTATGTAAACTCTCTCTCTCTCTCTCTCTCTTTCTGGTTCTTGCCATTTTGATTTTACTGTGTCTTAGTGTCACTCTATTTGAATATATATATATATATATTTTTATTTTTTTTAATTTTTATTAGTGAAACATCATGAGGTACAGTTGTAGACTTGCAAATTTTTGTGCTTGGGTTTCAATTATACAATTATCAAATACCCATCCCTCCACCAGTGCCCATTTCCCATCACTATGGATTCCAGTATCCCTCCACCCCCAATCCCCCCCCCATCCCACCCTGCCTCTGTGGCAGGGCATTCCCTTTTGTTCTCACTCTCTTATTGGGTGTTGTGGTTTTCAAAAGAGGCATTGAATTTGAATATATTTTTAAGGTGCTCTTTGCACCTATTGGATCTGTTCATAAGACTCCCTCGAATGATTGGGGAGGGGGGCATTTTTGAGCTATAGTCTTTCTTCTGTTTCTTTCATTTCTCTCTCTTTCACATATTCACATAATTCAGAGATTATTCCTCCTTCAGTTATCCATTAAATAGTTTATATTTTCTTCTGTTTTTAAAAGTTACTTTTCTAAATTCCTCCTTCTGAGTCTGGCTTGTGTTTTGTCTTTCTCTGATACAAGTTTTGACATCCTGAGTTCTGTTGATATGACTTTACTGCTGTAAAATACCTCTTTCAATTCCATAGCAATGAAAATGCTTTAACATTTCACATAAACTTTTCTTTGTTGATTGAATTTCCTTCTAGAGCTTCTCTCATTTCCTCTCCTGTGGTGTTCTGAGCTTCTTCTTGAATGACATCAAGGTTCTTGGTGAGCATGAGCACTCCCTGATACTTCTGGCCCCTGTGTTTCAGAAACTCGTTTCCATGGATTTTTTTAATTATTATTTTTGCATTCTGTGGATGGTGAGAATAGAATTTGAGATGTAAGATGATGTCTGTGGACTATTTTGCCTTTTCTTGCCTTCAGTCATTTCTAGTCAGTGACTGCAGCACCAGAAGGGTAGAATGAGGCTGAGTAAGGAGTTAAACTGCTCATGTGGCTGTACAGTCTGGATTGGCATGGGGGTTGGCAGTGGACTGAGAACGCTTGTCAGCAATCTTACGGGCCTGTGGGGGTGAGGGTTTGAGGGTTGCTGAGTCCCAGGGCCCATGGCTGAAGCTTCCTGCAAGCATCAAAGGCAATTTGACACTTCTGATGTAAACAATTCGGTGCAACTGCTCTATGTCTTCTTTGATGATGTGTCTATTTCCAATTTATTTCCAATTTATTTATTATTTCCAATTTATTTCCAATGTTTGTTTTTTGGGGGGGGGGGCATTAGGAAGGCTTTTCTATTTTCTGTAATTTTTCCAGACCAACATGAGTAGCTGACAACAATATTCTTTGCCTTGTATACTTGTGGACTAACTCTCAGCAACATGAAATACTCTGAATCATAGTCTAATGTGGTGCAATTCTCAGAGTGGTGGAATGAGTGGTAGTCAATATAAGTATTTGGTGGAACACTGTTGCTTTTCTGTGCAATGCCTTCTTTAAAGTATTTTATAACAAGTAAGATTTTAAAAGTATTTCTATTTTGTATCCTGTAGTGTCTTTGTAAAGCCAGGGAGAATGAGATTAAAAGTGAAGAACATTTTAAGGCCATTGCTGAGAGAGAACTGGGACGAGTGAAAGAGGAAATCCAACGCCTGGAAAATGAGACTGCTTCAGTCAGGGAAAAGAAAATTGATAAGGAGGTATGTGTTGGAATGTTGCTTAGACTTTTGTGCCATTGGTCTTCTTCTCTCACCAAATATGCATTGTTATTTTCTAAATTGGAAAGGTATTTATTCGTTTCCTAAAATTTGCTTATATTGTTTTTTTGACAGTAAAAGGCACATTAGATTGTGACTAGAATAAAATTAGGATTGAATCTTACTTTTATTTTCCTAGTATTCATTTAGTAATCAAATACTCATTCAACTACCTGTTCTGAAGTACCTGTCATAATTCATTTATAAGTGCTAAATTTTAATACATATTAATTTCACTTTTAATTTTGAAAATCATTTATAAGTGGTAGCACAGTGGTAGGACGTTTTCCTTGCGCACAGCCAGCCCGGCCCAGCCGGGTTTGATTCCTCCGCCCCTCTCGGAGAGCCCAGCAAGCTACCGAGAGTATCTCGCCCGCACGGCAAAGCCTGGCAAGCTACCCGTGATGTATTCGATATGCCAAACACAGTAACAACAAGTCTCAAAATGGAGACGTTACTGGGCCTGCTCGAGCAAATCGATGAACAATGGGAGGACAGTGATAGTGACAGATCTTTCATATTTATCACATGTGATTCTAATGATTACTATACCTTATTTTTCTCTGCTTTAATTTTCAGTTATGTATTTGAAACTCTTTTCATAGTCTAATTCTTTTCTTTCCATATATATGAGGAAATCTCTCTATATGATGTCTACATCTAATTATATATTTTTCTATATAAATCTACATATCTAAATGTATAATATATACATATATAACATCCATTACATTAATCTGTTTTAGCATATTGATCTCTTTTCTGTTGTGAATCTATATTTGTTAAAGGGATAAATTTATTGGGGCTGGAAAATAGTAGACAGATTAAGACACTTGTCTTTCATGTGGCCAACTCCAGTTTGATCTCTGGCACCACATGTGACCCCCAGAACATCACTAGAAATAATCTCTGAGCACAGGGCCCGAAATAAGGCCTGAGCACAGCAAGATGTGGCATGAAATCCAAAATGAAAAAAAAAATGCAATTACAAAAATATTTTATATCTTTAACTATTGTATTTAAAATGGAAGTATTTTTAAAATTTCTTTTTTCCCTCACTTCATTTAAACTCTGTGGTTTACCCAGTTGTTCATGATGATTTGTTAGGCATTCAGTATTCCAACACCAATCCCACCACCATGGTCACCTTCCCTCCACCACTGTCTCCGTTTTCTCAACTATCCCTCAAGTGTGGCCCTGTAGCAGGCCCACAATAATTTATTTTATATTGCGTGGTACCACTTAGTGGCTAATGGAATGATTAAAAAAATACTTCTATAAAGAAAGTTTGTGAAAATTGTTGGATCTTACCATAGGAACATTTAAGTCCTTGTTCGAAGATTTACCAGGATGTTGTTGCTAGTTGAGCCTTTCTGTGTTAATGTTTTTGTCTGTCGAGATTAGCTGACTTCTATGTTACATTCCCGTCCAATCTGCTGTGCTTGGCCTCCCCATCCACCTCTCGAGATTGTCTCAGTGGTCTCAGCCAGGGTCCCGTGTATCTGAGAACTGTTTGCAGCCAGTTTATCTCTTTTGAGATTTAATTATGAGTCTCTGAAACTGAACTGGTAAATGAGTTTACATGACCATGGTAGTGGGACATGAGTGTGGCTGCTGGGTCTTTCAGAAGTATGAGGAGATGGGTATTTCTTTATAAAAGGCAGCAGAATGATCAGAAGTGGGATTGAAAGAGACTTGTCTGCAAGAGAGCATAAAACGACACATGGCATAGCTGTGTCGTGGGCCCCGCACCAGGCTGTTTCATTTGGGGTATACCCCGGATAAGGGCAGGTGAGGCCCCTCCCCACCCCCAGGGACCCAGCCCGGGCAGCTGAAAACCTCCAGAACCTAACCACTGTCATGCTCACGGCCGCTCTCCACGTCCTCTGACCACTCTCCACATTCTCTGACCGAGTTCACCCACGAGTGAACTTTCTCTTGGATCGCACGACATCTCATACCTTGCATCACTAATATTCCAAGATATTTGGTGGGGTTTAAAATAGAAGGCAATCAATCTAGGAGGGAAATATATATATATATATATATATATATATATATATATATATATATACACACACACACACACACACACACACACACACACACACAAGGCTCAATCTTCAACAACATCTTAGTAATCTCTTATAGAAGGACTTAATGGCCCCTGTGTGAAATACAACCATGTTTACATACTTTCCTCTAAGGAAACTTTTTTGGGTCACTTTCAGCAGTTGATTATTAACAAACAATACAAAATGAATTTTTGTTCTGCTTTGGGGCTAGGGGTTGGGGATCAGGATGAAAAAATCCTAAATATGGTGGTGGAAAGGTGTAATGGTGGTGGAATTGGCCTTCAAATATTAAATCCACTGTCTTGTCCTCCCATTATTCATAGATTTGCTCTAGCGGGCACCAGTAACGTCTCCATTGTGAGACTTGTTGTTACTGTTTTGGCATATCGAATACGTCACAGGGAGCTTGCCAGGCTTTGCTGTGTGGACAGGATACTCTCGGTAGCTTGCCAGGCTCTCTGAGAGGGACAGAAGAATTGAACCCAGGTCGGCCGTGTGCAAGGCAAACATCCTACCCACTATGCTATGTTAACTACTTTATAAAAATAAAAATATTTTTAAAAAGTAAGAGACTTGTCTTTGTCTTAAGTTAGCATGTCAAGCACATTATTTTTGTTAAGTATGTTCTGGGTGGAGTGACTAAGGAGATTTCTCTGGGATAGCTACCCTTATAAAGGAAAGCTCTCTTTAAGCAAACTTGCTTTAACTGTGGTTCTCCACTTTATATAATTATATCCTTTCTATTTCACAACTCAAGTATTTAAATGCTTTAAATATGATAATTATGCAATTAAATATATTATATACAGCAGGAGGGTAAGGCCAGGAACAGAAGCCCTTGTTTATTTTTTATATAGTGTGTTGCATATTTGATTATAGTGTGTCATAAATGCTGTTTTGTGATCTCTTCTTTCCCTTTCTCTTGGGAAATTAGAATGCAATATTTAAAGCTACTCAAAAATTGGATAACTTGAAGTGTCAAATGAATTGGAACCAACAAGCATTGGATGCTTGGTTAGAAGAATCAGCTCATAAAGATAGTGATGCTTTTACTATTCAGAAGTATGCTCAACAGGATGACAACAAAATTAGGGTAAGAGATTATAATATGAGTTTTTTCACTACTCTGGTAGTATGTCAAACTTTTTACAAAAATTGGACTCAGAATCTTAAATGGTATTTCATAAACAATTCTGAGTCAGGAACTTATTTTAGAGTCCAATAAAGTATCCTTTCACTAGAAAAATGACTTTACTGAAATACAAACAGAATTTTCTTGAAAGCCTAAAAGTTCTTGTCTCTCAAAAAACAAGTTTTGTTCTAGTACTACGTATAAGTATTTTAATTTGGGGGGGTCCAGTAATACTTTTAGTGTTATAATATGTGTTTGTTTCCTGATTTGAGACTATAATGTTATTGATTATTTAATATATCATTTTAAATTTAAAAAACATTATTTAAAATATATCCATAATTAAATCTGGTAACACTATGTTATGAACATATATTATGAGTATGCTATTTTCTTGTATATGTAATATAAAAATGCATTAAATAATTCTAAATAGTAGTTACTACTTAACCTCTTTCCGACATTAAAATGTTTTTTTCAGTAAAAAGTGGTGTTTAATGTGGACTCAGGGTAGACTCAATAGATTAATCTTTTGGTGTTTAAAGATAATGAAAATTGACATTATCAAATACATGTATTTTTATAGTGCAACAATACTATGAGATATGCTACACTAAGTATTAATAAAATAATTATTAATTTTTATGTGATTATATCACAGGCGCTGACACTGCAGTTAGAAAGACTGAATTCAGAATTTAGTCACAAAAGAAAGTTACTCAATGATGAACTTACAGAGACTCTAAGTGCACAGGTTGGTTTAGAGATTTTCAATTCTTCGTTGTCAGGTGATGTTTACAAAAGCACTTAAATTCACAGAAATGCTATTTGTTCTTTATTTTACAGTTAGAATTGGATAAAGCAGCACAAGATTTTCGTAAAATTCATGATGAAAGACAAGAACTCATTAAACAGTGGGAGAACACAATAGAACAGATGCAGAAGAGAGATCGGGACATAGATCAGTGTGCCTTGGTAAAGTTGTCCTTGTAGTGTTCAGCTTGATCTGCCTGCCGCTTTTCTAGTTAACAAATCTGTTTCCAAGTGTTAATCACACTGTTATTTGAAAATTACTTTTGGTAGTAGAATTCAATATGTTTGGAAGTGCTATTCAAAGATGCCTCTATCTCCATTTAGAAATTTGATTTTATAAAGAACAGTTTTTTTATGTCAGAATCTGGATTTGTTTTCATATTCATATTTGAAATATTTCATATTCATTTCAGAAATATGTCATTTCTGAAAGGTGGAACAAGAGAGAAAGTCAAAAGATAATGTTATTATTACCGAACCCAAGTTCACTTGAAAGCCAACTACTCAAAAAACAGGGGTTGATGTGGGAAAAAAATGTTTTATTTGGGTGCTAGCAACCTGAAAACATGGCAGATTTTTTTGTCCTCAAAGGTCCAGCTGTGGGAACTTGAGAGATAGTGCTGTGGATAGGACACTTGTGTATCATTTGATGAACTCAGGTTTAATCTCTGGAACTGCGTATGAATCCCCTGAACAACGGCAGGAGTGATCCTTGAGCAGAGACCTAGGAGAAAATCCTGAGCACTGCTGGATGTGGTCTCATCCTCAGTCTTCATCCCCACCTCCACCCTTACTTTCTACTCTCCCCCCCAAAAAAGAAAGAAAAGAAAGAAATTGGCAAGCAGCTCAGGTCCCTGGGAATTTGGAATTCTGATGTCTAAATGTGGCTTACTTATGATTTTTTTTCTTTTTGGGTCACACCCAGCGATGTACAGGGGTTACTCCTGGCTCATGCACTCAGGAATTACTCCTGGCAGTGCTCAGGGGACCTTATGGAATGCTGGGGATCGAACCCATGCAAGGCAAACACGCAACCTTTGTACTATTGCTCCAGCCCCACTTATGATTCTTTTATTTTAAAGATCTATAACTAGACATCTTAATCCTTAAATCTTATGTTAGTTTCTCTCTCTTTAATACTTTCACGCATCAAGTCCTGACTACCTCTTCTGTGCTAATCAAATGTGTCAGATCTAGGATTGCAGATCCATAATACGTTGTCATCCACTCCTGTTGCTAAATTGGCTTGACCTGCTGATTTGGCAGAAAGTACTCCTAGCAGCAGCTTGGTCATACTCATAATGGCTCCATATTTCCAAGTCATATTGTAAGAGGCTAGGGAGGGTTGTTTCATTGGGTAATGACTTCAAAGTGTTTAACAATCAAGTCTCTGAGAACAAAACAAAACTGAACAATTACACCCTCTCCCCTTCCCCTTCTCTAGATTTATAGCATTTCTGATTTCTCTGGTGAAACTACTTCTCTTCAAACATGATTCACTGAACACAGAGTTGAGATGTGTAAGTAGAGAGAGTTTGGTGAGCCGTAAGAGCCAGCTCATGCCATTAAAGAATTTAGTCTGAGATTTGTCTCTAGCAAATCAATGAGCAACGGGAGGAGAGTGACAGTGACAGTGACTTTTAACTGTCACCCATATAAAAATTTAAATGTGAATTGATAGTACTTAAAATGTGTTTGTATGATTAAAACCCAATCATAAACAGCTTTGTAACTGTATCTCATGGTGATTCAATTAAAATTAGTTAAAATTAGTTAGTGAAACTCTATTTTGAAGAACTGGAAAAATATTTAACTGTAGGGCCAGATAGTACAGGGTGTTAAGATGCTTGCCTGGAATACATCCGATCCTTTTCTGTCCCCAGCACTATATGTGATCCCTTAAGCACCTCCAGAGATCACTCTCAAGCTCAGAGCCAAGTAACCCCCAGTTCCCCACCAGCATCTGCTGTGGCCCCCAATCCCCTCAGCACCCTCCCAACCGAAACTATTTTCTTTCTCCAATTTATTTAACTTATTGTTGCCAGAACCATTTGCTCACTCCACGCATGATCTTTTTATTCTCTAGCTTCAAAATCCTATGTCACCTTATTTGAGTTGAGTCTCTTATCAAGTCCCGCCCTTTAATATTAATCTCCATTCCATTCCTACCTCCCCACCCAGCACTTTGACACTGAGTATTTTGTATCTGCACATTTTTCAGGCTTGATTCACAGACTCTTGGTTAATGATTTCAATGTCTCTTTTTGGTTATATTGAATAATGTCTTTGTTCCCATAGTGCTTTGTCCATATCTGTTAATAGTTTATATATTCCATTTATTTTGTATTCTCCTAAACAGCAAAGGGAACTGCCTGTGAAGTATTAGAAAAATATTATTGAAATGCAATATGAAATGTGATATTTGACACATTTTTCAGCTATCACCTTTTGTTTATAAAAAATGGGTACTTTTATCACTAGCAGTGTATAGATAGATGGAAGAAAATATTGAGATCTTTAAAAATATGAGCTTACAGATGTTGATATGTACTATACTGATATTTTTTTCCATGTAAATACAGTCTTTAAATATTCTCTTAGAACCTTGGTAATTTTTGGAGGATACTGGCACTGCTCATGCACTTGGAATATTGACTCCCTAAAACTCTGTTATGATAGACCTTGTAAATCACGATGCCTAAATAAAATTTAAAAACAAAAAGTGAAAAAATATTCTTATTTAGTGAAATTAATTCTGAATCTATAACTAAAATCTAAACATCTCTTTGAGTTTTGGGTTTCTTTTTCTTTTATTGATCATCTAACCATATTTAATTGTTCTTTCAATTCCAGGAATTGTCAAATATAAAGCAGGAATTAAGAGAAAAAGAAATTTTGGTTAAAGAGAAGATCAAATTTCTGGAAAACGAGATTGGGAATAACACAGAGTTTGAGAGAAAAATTGCTGCTGCGGATCGTAAAGTTTCAAAATGTAGAATGGAATATCAGAGTCATGAAAATAGTCGAGTTCAGCTGAAGGATGAGGTATGTCAACTAAAAAGATTAGTTTGTATGTTTAAAACAATTTTTTAACAAAATTGTAAACAAAATTGCTATAAAATAAACATGAAGGCTTTCCTTTTATTAAGGAACTGCTTGCTAGGTCCTTTTGTTACATCCCTTCATTTTGTGGAACTTCAGGATCTTGCAGCTGAGACTGTGATTCCTGAAAGCAGCAGGTGGGTACCATTCGCATCTCAAGGAATGGGAAGGTTTCCTTCTGGAGCTGTGCAATGCCCAGCCTGCCAGTGTCTCAGAGGCCAGACTTCTGGAGGGTAGAAATCAAACTGGAAATCATAATTATGGAATAACCAGCAGACAGCAAACATGAAGATGCTATTAGTGATTATGCAAAGAATATTTTTAATAGCTGCAGGTGCCGGGTGGTTTTAACTCTCAAATTCTAGATGGTAGTGCTTGCGTGAGTTCAGTTCCTTTCCTTGCAAGGGAGTAATATTTCAGTCTGGTAATGAGATAAGTTAGTGAAGTTAAAATACCTGGAAACAGACTCAGAAAGAACACGATTTTTGCTTTTTTTCCCACTTCTTTTGTAGTGTTCATGCGAATGACTTATTTTGTAAGAGAGTAAATCTCCTTAGCAGTAAAGAGATCTTTATGAAGTCATAGCACCTGAAGTAACCAGGAGATTAGAATGTTTTTGAGCATTTTAATCTATAAATTACCATATATTTTAATTCTGATAAAGATAGAATGATTTTTTGGTCCAAAACAATTACGTAAGAACCTAAAAAAAGTAAACTCGGTGATTTTTTTGTTGAGATATTGTGTTTTACTATACAGTTAAAATCAGTATTTTTTTCCTGATAAAATGTCATTGCTAAGTAATGTGAAGTGTGGTAAGGAAAGCCTCTTTAATAAATTGTGTTGGCATCACTGGACGGCTACATGCAAAAAAATAGGCTCAGAACTCTGCCTAACACCATGTACAAAAGTAAGATCAAAATGGATTAAAGACCTCAACATCAGACCAGAAACCATAAGGTACATTGAAGATAAAGTTGGCAAAACCCTCCATGACATTGAAGCTAATGGTATCTTCAAAGATGCCACGCCACTGGCCAAGCAAGTGAAAACAGAGATAGATAAATGGGACTATCTTAAACTAAGAAGCTTCTGCACCTCCAAAGAAACAGTGACCAAAATACAAAGACAGTCTACAGAATGGGAAAGGATATTCACTGAATACACATCTGACAAGGGGTTGATATCCAGGATATACAAAATACTGGTTAAACTCCACAAGAAGAAAACAACCAACCCCATCCAAAAATGGAGCAATGAAATGAACAGAAACTTTCTCAAAGAAGAAATCCGAATGGCAAAAAAGCACATGAGAAAATGCTCTACATCATTAATCATCAGGGAGATGCAGATCAAAACCACAATGAGATACCATCTCACACCTCAGAGACTGGCCCACATTCAAAAGAGCAAAAGCAACCGATGCTGGCGTGGATGTGGCGAGAAAGGGACACTCCTTCACTGTTGGTGGGAATGTCGACTGGTTCAGCCCTTCTGGAAAACAGTATGGATGATTCTCAAAAAATTAGAAATTGAGCTCCCATTTGACTCAGCAATACCACTCCTGGGAATATATCCCAGAGAGGCAAAAATGTATAGTCGAAGTGACATCTGCACTTGTTTGTTCATTGCAGCACTCTTTACAATAGCCTGAAACTGGAAGAAACCTGAATGCCCAAGAACAGATGACTGGTTAAAGAAACTTTGGTACATCTACACAATGGAGTACTACGTAGCTGTTAGAAAAGATGAAGTCATGAAATTTACATACAAGTGGTACAACATGGAAAGTATCATGCTAAGCGAAATGAGTCAGAAAGAGAGGGATAGACATAGAAAGATTGCATTCATCTGGGGGATATAAAGTAACAAAATATGAGATTAATACCCAAGAATAGCTGAGATCAGCACCAGGAGGATTACTCCATAGCTTAGTGGCCAGTCGGGCATTCTAGAGGAAAGGGCAGCTCAGATAGAGAAGGGAGCACCAAATAAAGGGTGTTTGGAGGATCCTCCCAGGAGGGGAGATGCATGTCGAAAGTGGACTATGGACTGAACATGTTTGCCACTCAATGCCTCTTTTGCAGACCACAACACCCAAAAGGAGAGAGAGAACACAGGGGCAGCCCTGCCACAGAGGCAGGGGGGGATGGGGGGATGGGGGTGGGGGGGATATTATCCATGGTGGTGGAAAATGGGCACTGGTGGAGGGATGGGTATCTGATCATTGTATAATCAAACCCAAGCACAAAAAATTGTAAATCTACAACTGTACCTCATGGTGTTTCACTAATAAAAAAAATTTTTTTTAAAATGTCATTGCTAGTAGTTTTTTCTTATAAATGTTTGTTTGGGGCTGGACAGAGAGTACAGTGGGTTAAGCACTTTCCTTGCATATGACAGACCTTCATTAGGTTTCTGCCACCTCATATGGTCCCCCGAATGCAGAGGTAAGTCCTGAGCACCCCAGGTATGGCTCCCAAACAAGTTTAAAACAATTGCAGGAAAAATTTTTTTTTTTGCTTATCAAGATACAATTCACATACCACAATTCATCCTCTTACAGTATATTCACAGAATTGTGCAGCTACTAATATACAAATTTTAGCCAGTGTTATCCCTACTTGATTTTAGAGTATTTTTGTCACTCCAAAAAGAAATCCTATACTCAGAAATCATTTCTTTCCCCTTCATATAAGTTTACTAATTTTTGTATCTATAAACTTGCCTATTTTGAACATTTTATATAAATTAAATGATAAAATATGGGACTTTTTGCAGCTGGATTCTTATATTTATAAAGTGTTTTAAAAGTTCATTCATATTGTAACGTATAAGGGGCTATAGAGATAGTATAGCGGGTAGGTCTCTTGCCTTACATATTGGAACAAATCAATATTTCAGTCTTATTTTTTAAAATTTTTTTTTATTAGTGAGACACCATGAGGTACAGTTGTAGACTTACAAATTTTTGTGCTTGGGTTTCAATTATACAATGATCAAATACCCATCCCTCCACCAGTGCCCTAAATAGTCTTATTAAGGCTGAAACAACTCCATTGCATACCACTATACCATGTTTTAGCTTGTCCATTTATTTGCCAATGGACATGGATTGTTTCCATGTTTTAGCTATTACTAATGCTTCCATGAACGTGGGTGTGCAGTTAACTCAGAACTACTCTCTTGTGGCAGTTTGGTCCTTAATTTTTCAAGGAGTTCTCATACTGTTTTCCATAGTAACTACAGCATACCTGTGTGCAAGGATTCCAATGTCTCTACATTTTCACTAATACTCGTTCTTCTGTTTTATTTTGATAGTAACCATTGTTAATGGATAGGAGGTATTATTTCATTACAAATTTGATTCCCCTTTAATTAGTAATAAATAAGGAATATCACTAAACATTTTTTTCGTGTGCTTCTTAACCATTTGTATATCTTTTTTTTGAAAGTTCCAGGGATTGAACTCAGGGCCTCACCTATATAAGACATAGGCTCTACACTGGGTCGTTTTCCCCATCCCTATATATTTTCTTTGAAAAATGTCTTTTCAAGCTTCCCCCTCCCCTGTTTTTGAGTCAGATACTGTGGCTGAGTTTTTAATTTTTAAAAACAGCTTGAAAAGCTGTGTTCTCCCTTGAATACATAGCTCACTTGCTCATGTCTTTGCTCTGCTTTTTGTTCTCTGGAGAAGCCTGTCTTTTCCCTTGAACATGTGATTCCTCTCTCTCTCTCTCTCTCTCTCTCTCTCTCTCTCTCCTCTCACATATTTCTAAGTAAGTTTCAATAAAAACTATTTTGTCTTACCAAAAAAAGTTTTATAATATTATATATTTTATATATGATAGCACAGCAGATAGGGTGTTTACCTTGCACACGGCCGACCCGGGTTCGATTCCTCCGCCCCTTTTGGAGAGCCCAGCAAGTTACCAAGATTATCCTGCCCACATGGCAGAGCCTGGAAGCTCCCTGTGGCATATTCGATAAGCCAAAAACAATAACAACAAGTCTCACAATGGAGACGTTACTGGTGCCCACTCAAGCAAATCGATGAACAATGGAAGGACAGTGCTACAGTGCTATATATATATATATATATATATATGCATTTATGTATATATTAAAAATGCTTCCATTAACATGGGTGTACAATTAACTCAGTACTACTGTCTTGTGGCAATTTGAGTCTTCATATATATATGTATTATACTATAATATACATATTATGGTATATATTTATATATATTATATGTACTTACATAGATATTCCAGATATTAATTCCTATCAGGAATTCACAAATAATTTCTCCTCATGTCTGGATTATTTTGTTCTCTTTCGATAAAGTCTTTGAGGTATAAAAGTTTTAAATCCTGAAGAAGTTCAACTTGACTGCTTTTTTCTTTTGCCTCTATCTTGGGTCCAATCAAGAAATCATTGTTGTGAAACCCCAAATTCAAGGAATTTAATGTTGTGAAGCTTTTTCTCTACTTATTTTTAGTACATTATTTATTTATTTTTAGTATTTTATTTATTTTTAGTACCTGTATGTTTAATATCAGATCACAAAGCAAAACTGTTAATATATATGATAGCAACATTGTTTTTATATTTCTGAATGATTTAGGTTAAAAATGTTCAAAATAGAACTTCTCAGAAATGAAATCATAAGATGCAGAGTAAATATATAATTTCTGTCTGTTAACTAATAGCTGGATTGTTTAAAAGCCACTGTGAATAGAAGTTCCAGTGATTTGGAAGCTCTGAGGAGAAACATTTCCAGAATTAAGCATGCCACTGAAGAAGAAGAAGCAAAGTAAGAAAAAAACATTTAAATATGTGTTTCATGATATATATGTAGGTAATAAAATGACTCATTATAATAAAAAAATCCTTGATGTTTTACTAACAAATTTTAGGTTAAACTGTTTCTTGGTTTAAATATGTTTTGGACAGGTTCTTTTTTTTTCTTGTAAACCTTTCTAGGTTACAAAATATTAAACGTCATAATGAAGTTATAAAGAAAAAGTTACATGAGATAACTGAGAGAACTATGTCTGTAGAGGAGAAAGCAACCAACTTGGAAGATATGGTAAAGCAGGATGAGAAGATAGTCAAGGTAAATTGAGTTTTAATTTATAAGAAATCATAAATAAAATTTTAGCAATAGTGAATTAAAGGCAAACACCCTACCCGCTGTGCTATCGCTCCACCCCAGCAAATGAGCCCGGCAAGCTACCGGGAGTATCTCGCCCGCACGGCAGAGCCTGGCAAGCTCCCCATGACGTATTCGATATGCCAGACACAGTAACAACAAAGTCTCCAATGAAGACGTTACTGGGCCCGCTCGAGCAAATCGATGATCAACGGGAGGGCCTTTACTTTACTTTACTTAGTGAATTAAACTCTTAATATCAGAGGATGAGGGTTGGAAAGATAGGCTGTGGGAAGGGTACTTGCATTTTATGCAGCTCACTCGAGTTCCACCCCTCTGACACCCAACATCATCTCCCTAATCTGCCAGAAGAGAGCTCTGAGCACAGAGCCAGGAGTAAGTCCTGAGTACAGCTGGGTGTGGCCCCAGAGAAACAAAAGTTACAAATATAAGAGGAGAAACAGTTCTTTCCAGAGGTTCTGCTGTTTGACCAGAAAGATAGCTCTATAAATTAGCTTATGCTTGCATGAAGGAAGTTCAGATTTGATCTCTGACACCATATAGTCCCCAGAAAAATGCAGGAAACATCTATGATTGTGGCTCAACAATTAAAAATAATTTATTAGGGCCAAGGATGTACCTCAGTGTTACAGAACTTTCCTTGAATGTGTAAGACTCTGAGTTTTATCCCTGGAACTGAAAAAAATAGCAGTTTTGCTTCCTGTAATCCACTTATTTTGTTTTCAAAATGTTATTTTATTAAGCATCATAAATTACAAAACTATTTGAGTTGGGTTTTTGACATACCAATATTCCATCACCAATACACCACCAGTGTCATCTTGTTTCCAGATTCCTTCTCAACCCCCCACCCCAGCCCCAGCCTTCCATCTCGACTGGCATCTATTTTTTTTAATGTTAATATTTCTGTTTTAATTAATTAATTTTTATTACTGACTCACCATGTCACCGTGAGATAGTTACAAAGCTTTCATAATTGAGTTTCAATCATACAGTGTTCCAACACTCATCCCTCTACCAGTGTACATTTCCCACCACCATATCCCCCATATCCCTCCTGCCACCTCGCCAGCCTGCCTCTATTGCAGGCAATTCTCTCTCTCTCTCTCTCTCTCTCTCTCTCTCTCTCTCTCTCTTCTCTCTATCTCTCTTTCTCCCTCCCACTCCCCCTCAACCCCGCCCCCTTTTTGGGCATTATTGTTTGCAATGCAGATACTGAGAGACCATCATGTTTGGTTATTTGCCCACTTTCAGTACGCATCTCCAATCCAGAGCAATCCCTTGCAACCATTATTGCATAATGGCATAATGGTCCCTTCTCTGTTCCAACTGCCTTTTCCCCCAACCTCTGAGGCAGGCTTCCAACAATGGACCATTTGTCCTTAACCCTTCTTTCTACTGTAATGGGGTGTTAGTCTCTTACTATGTTTGTTTCTTTTTCTTTTTGACTGACTGGCACCTTTTAAGATTGGTTATTAAAGTTGGGTCTCGCAACTCCAGTGTTGTTGACTCTGTGGTTTGGAGACCTAGCTCTTTCATTCCTTGATACCACCAGTGTACCTGGGTCCTCTTGACCTCTGTCCTGTTACTTCTCATCTATCTCTTTTCCCTTCCCTTTTACTCTATTACTTATTTACTTTGAAGTTCCTGCTGTCCTGTATTTTGTTCTTCACTTTAGACACTATGTTGTACAAAGTTGTTTGTCTTGATTTGTTTCAGGCATTTAATATTCCAACAACAATCTCACTACCTCTGTCACCTTCCCTCCTCCATTGCTCCCATTTTTCCAAACCACCCCTCAAGCCTGTCCTGTGGCAGGCCTACAATAACTGTATTTTATGTTGCTTGTTACCACTAACTGACTAATGGAATGATCAAAAAATATTTCAGCAAAAGAAAATTTGTGAAAATCATTGTTTACTCAGTTTTTGTTGCCAGTGAAGCCTTTTGTGTTCATTTCCTTGTTGGTTGAGATCAGTTGGCTTTTAGGTTACATTCCAGTCCAAGCTGGTGTGCTCCTGCTGGGATGCCAGGATGGTAGAGTTTGCAGATGTCGTGTGGTCGTGAATGCAGCCACAGGCTCCAGAAATCCAGAATATTAACTGGAAAGTCTGGCTGGAGGCAAGGTGACAGTTCTTGGGATGTGGGTGCAGCTGCCTCGGCTTTGGTAGGGCAGGAAACTGGCCCACCTCCCAAGATTGCCCCAGACATCTCAGCCAGGATCAGGCATTGAGAACTTTTTGCAGCTAGATGATCTCTTTCGAGAGTGATTTGTGAGTCTCTGGAACAGGGCCAGTAGTTGAGCTTATGTGGAAACAGTGGTGAGACATGAGAGTGGCTGCTGGGGCTTCCAGAAGTATGGAGGGAGGTGAGGGGAGATCGTCCATCCAGACTCTGAGAAGGTCCAGAGATTTTTCTAAAAAAATAAAACACCCATGTGCCTGAAATTTTCAGCAGGTTAGAATCACTGTGGAGCTCAGTTGTGAGGTGGTGGAATCCAGCCAGAGGTGTGGTGGCAGATGTTGGAATGTGAGTTTGGCTCCTGGGGCTATAGTAAGGCAGGAAATTGGCCTGCTTCTCTCCTCAGCCAAAAACAGGCATCTGATTGTTCTATTTCTTTTATTCTCCTCCCAATATTTGGGGGCCAAGAGTGATCTAAGCATCCCCGGCTTAGTCCCCCACCTCCTCTTAAGCCACTGCATAACATTTATTATTATATTTGTTGCCCAGAAATTTGGAGACCATCTCAAAAATTCAGTAAAAATGGTCCACTGTAATAAAAGATAATACATTTTTAAAATTATAGGTCTTGATATGTGAAATTTTAAATGTGCTATGTAATATTAGTCCCTGGTTTCATCTGTGGTTCATTGGTTATCAAGAAAAAAATGTGTATCTCAGTGAGGAGAGTATAGGGAAATTATTTTAACGTTTTTAGATGACTGTGAAACAGAACTACTATTAAAAATTAAGCTATAAATATTACAAATACATTAAAAGCAAATTTAATAGAGAGTATTCACCTTTATAAGATCATAGTTATATTTTATAATATTTCTAGTACACTGATGCTCTCAAATTTCCTTAAGATTGCCTGTATCTATTATACCTGTACAGAGAAAATACTGCATAATGCTGTTGCTGAGATTCTTTTCCTCGCTTTGTATTTAGTTCAGTCAAGTTAGTTTGCTTAAAGGGTTACTCTCACTATGGCCAATTTTAAGTTTTTCAAATGATTTTATCATGGGAAATGGCCTCTTTCCCCTAATCTCTCATTTACTAGAAATCTGGTGGTTATGCATTCACTTGATCACCACTGGATAGTGTCCCAAAGAGATTGGGAGTCTGGATGATGTGAACCCTCAAGACTTAAGTGAATGTGGGGCTGGAGTGATAGCACATTGGGTAGGGCGTTTGCCTTGCATGCAGTCAACATGGCCAACACAGGTTCGATTCCAGCATCCCATATGGTTCCCCAAGCACCGCCAGGAGCAATTCCTGAGTGCATGAGCCAAAAAAGACTTAAGTGGATACAAATTTGTAAGTTCTGTGTCTTTGGTATATTTTATTTTCCAAGTAAATCAGTGTAGTGGTCAAATTCTCAGGGTTGGGCCACATGGTATCGAGTTGAGATGACAGAGCAAGATGATAGCATAAGAATAGAAAACTACTGTTCTACTCTACTAGAATAGAATACCCAAAATGTTGGCGATTTGTTGGAATTGTGGGAACGGCATTTTGTTCTGAATGGTGAAAATGCTGGTATTCACTTAAGAACTTTAAAATTATGTTTAAATAATATAACTTCTCAATGTGTTGTAATTTCATTAATCACTGTTATTCTTGTCATCAGGAAGTGCAAATTCAATTGAACATATTGAAAGATGTGCTATATAAGAAATCTCAGGAATTACAGACTGAGAAAATGAAAGAAAAAGCTACTGTCTCAGAAATTAAAGGAACACGGTCTGTTCTTAGGAACTTAAATAATCAGTTACGTAAACTGGATTTTGACACCTTGATGCAGCAAGAAATTATGTACAATCAAGTAGGTGCTTCTCTGAATAGTCTTCATGTTGATTGGTTATAGTTGCTATAGTTAAAATACTGTGTTCTTTGTCCTGTGTATCTTAAGAAAACATTTAATTCTTAGTTATATAAACAAATACTCTTTTACTCCTACTCCTTCCTCATTTGTTAGTCTATAGTTTCTCAAAATCACTAGATGCTAAATATAATTTTAGAAATATTGGGATCAGAGCGATAGTACAGTGGGTAGGGTGCTTGCTTTCCAAATGGCCTCCTCAGGTTTGATCTCAAGCATCGCCAGTGGTCCTTCAAGCCCTGCCAGGAATGATCCCTGAGGATAGAGCCAGGAGTAAGTCCTGAGCACTGCTGGCTGTGACCGAAAATTAAAGTAACAGAATATAACAAAATATTCACTAGAAGGTCATCATATTTGAATTCTTCCTGACAATTTGAGACTTCTAAAATTTTTACATCTCTTAGAAAGTTTACACTAAGAAATTATTTTCATGAAAATCCATGGATTTACTGAGATTTCATCATCGTAGTATCATAAGTACCTTCTCTAGTTGACTTTGTTTTATGTACATATTTAGAATCAGATAAGATGCTATCTATAAAATATATACATATATACATATACACACATATATACATATACACTACACACACACACACACACACACACACACACACACACACACACACATACTGTCACTGTCACTGTCCTCCCGTTGTTCATTGATTTGCTCGAGAGAGCCCAGTAACGACTCCACTGTGAGACTTGTTACTGTGTTTGGCATATGGAATACGTCACAGGTGGCTTGCCAGGCTTTGGCGTGCGGGCGAGATACTCTCAGTAGCTTGCCAGGCTCTCCGAAAGGGGCGGAGGAATTGAACCCGGGTTGGTCGGGTGCACCGCGTGCAAGGCAAACGCCCTACCACTGTGCTATTGCTCCAACACACACACACACACACACACACACACACACACACATAAACCGAAACTACTCAGACCTCTCTGTCTCCTCCTCATTGTTTCGGGTGCTCTACACGTTCAGAGAAACTTCTTTAGTAACGAACAATAGAAATGATCCCTGGAGTGTCACTGCGATCTCTATCACTGTCCTGTACTTCTGTGTCACTTTGTTGTGACATCATCTGTCACTGTCATCTCCACTGGTGGTTGAAGAAAGTTCTGGTTTGTGTTTTCTCCCCTTTGAGTAGAATTGTATGCTACAAATTGCTGAAGGATTAAAGTGACGTTAATAAATTAGGATAAGCCTTACTAATTATTTATTGTGTTTTTAAATTATAGAAATGGTTTTGATTCTTCTTGCTAATAAAAAAAAAACTTCTCACAGGATTTTTACATTCAACAACTGGAACGTAGAATGTCACGGTTAAAGGGAGAAATAAATTCTGAAGAAAAACTTGCCCTTGAAACAAAGATTGTTGAACTCAAAAAAGTGTTGGAGGAGAAAAAATCCACGTATGACCTTTTGGAAACCCAGATCGGGAAGCTTCGTGTAACTTGCCAGACTACTTTATGCTACAAATACTCCAGTCATTTGTTGTTTTCTGTTTTCTGTTTACATTTCCCTAAGGTTTTATTTTGAATAGGCTAATTTCCAAGCTATGTGTATAACAAATACATATTCCTATTCATTTCTATGAGAATATAACTTCATTATTTATTATATACTTGCCATTATGTACTACATGCTTTTAGTATTTCTTTTCACTTATTCCTTATTAATGTCTTCAGATGCTGTTATTTTGGGATGATGGTAAGAGTAATTTTCCCACAATTACACAGCTAATACAGAGAGAATTAGGATCCCTGGTTCATGTGATTTAAAAATACTCCTATATGGTACATGACTTAAAAATCAGATAATTTTAATTTTTCCACTATGTATCTACCATAATTTGATTGCCTTTATCACTGAAATTATTTCTAAAGGAAGCTGCTCTCTTAGAGCTTTCCCATTGTTATTTTAAATATTTAGTGACAATATTTAAAACAACTAAATTTTTAAAATTTTATAAAAATTTTATTTTTATAGTTGTTCACAGTAATTCATTACATTCAGTATTTCAAACCAATTCACCACCATTACAAAACAATGCCTTCCCACCATTATATTTAGGATTTTTCCACCAAACTCCCAAAGCCTGCCCGCAAAGCAGAACGTAAAAAATTTATTTTGTATTGTTTGTTATGAATAATCTGCTAAAAATAATCCCCAAAAGCTGCCTTAGTGTGTGAAGATTTTTGTATCTTGCCCTGGAGCCATTAATCCCTTGTATAAGAGATTACTAACAAGCTGTTACAGGTTGTTAAGGGGAACTGTTACTATAAAAATTTGTCTTTAGGTATATTATGCTTGTGGTAATATAAAAGCTATGCTGATGAAACAATCTAATATAAACATGTTAAAATTTAACTGAAAAGCAAAACTGAAGAAGTAAGCTCATGGCCTGAGGGAACTCTATGACTAAGGAGAACTTGAAAGGGTTGAATGGGAGCCATAAACGGTTTGATATTTGAAACCACTGATTAGTCTAGTGATGAGTGTCCTCTAGTGGTTTAAAGGAGAATTGCTCTGAATTCTTTATCTAGAGCTATGAAATTTGTTACTTGTGATTACTTGCTTATTGCTAATTTACTTTATAAAAAATTTACTCTTGGAATTGATAATTTTTATTATTCAAATGTTGAAAATTTTTAATATGACTTAATTTTAGTCTTGAAAAGTTTATAGCCCTGTGGAAAGATTTTTATTTTTTTAAAATTTTTATTAGTGAAACGCCATAAGGTACAGTTGTAGACTTACAAAGTTTTGTGCTTGGGTTTCAGTTATACAATGACCGAGTACCTATCTTTTCACCAGTGCCCAGTGCCCATTCTCCACCACCAATGATCCCAGTGTCCCTCCCACCCCCCCATCCCCCCATCCCACCCTGCCTCTGTGGCAGGGCACTCCCTTTTGTTCTCTCTCTCCTTTTGGGTACAGTGCTTTGCAAAAGAGGCATTGAGTGGCAATCATGTTTGGTCTATAGTCTACTTTCAGCATCCTGGGCGGATCCCCCCACCCTTTATCTGGTGCTCCCTTCTCTATCTGAGCTGCTTTACCCCTAGAGTGTGCGGCTGGCCTCCGAACCATGGAGCAAACCTCCCGGTACTTATCTCGGCTATTCTTGGTTGTTAGTCTCCTATTTTGTTACTTTATGTTCCCCAGATGGATGCAATCTTTCTATGTCTGTCCCTCTCTTTCTGACTCATTTCACTTAGCATGGTACTTTCCATGTAGTACACTTGTATGTAAATTTCATGAGTTCAACCTTTCTAACAGCTACATAGTACTCCATTGTGTAGATGTACCAAAGTTTCTTTAACCAGTCATCTGTTCTTGAGTACTCAGTTATTTTCCAGATTCTGGCTATTGTAAAGAGTGCTGCAATGAATAAACAAGTGCAGATGTCACTTCGACTATACTTTTTTGCCTCTCTGGGATAAATTCCCAGGAGTGGTATTGCTGGGTCTAATGGGAGCTCAATTTCTAGTTTTTTGAGAATCGTCCAAACTGTTTTCCAAAAGGGCTGAACCAGTTGGCATTCTCACCAGCAATGAAGGAGGGTACTTTTCTCGCCACATCTGCGCCAGCACCGGTTGCTTTTGTTCTTTTGGATGTGGGCCAGTCTCTGTGGTGTGAAATGATATCTCACTGTTGTTTTGATCTGCATCTCCCTGATGATTAATGATGTGGAGAATTTTCTCATGTGCCTTTTAGCCATTCGGATTTCTTCTTTGAGAAAGTTTCTGCTCATTTCGTTGCTCCATTTTTTGATGGGGTTGGATGTTTTTTCCTGTGGAGTTCAACCAGTACTTTGTATATCCTTGATATCAACCTCTTGTTGAATGTGTATTCGGCGAATATACTTTCCCATTCTGTGGACTTGTCTTTGTATTTTGGTCACTGTTTCTTTTGAGGTGCAGAAGCTTCTTAGTTTAAGATAGTCCCATTTGTCTATCTCTGTTTTCATTTGCTTGGCCAGTGGCATGACATCTTTGAAGAAACCATTAGCTTCAGTGTCGTGGAGGGTTTTGTCAACTTTGTCTTCAATATACCTTATGGATTCCAGTCTGATGTTGAGGTCTTTAATCCATTTTGGTCTTACTTTTGTACATGGTGTTAGGCAGAGATCTGAGCCCATTTTTTTTGCATGTAGCTGTTCAGTTTTGCCAGCACAATTTGTTAAAGAGGCTTTCCTTACTCCACTTCACATTTCTTTCTCCCTTATCAAACATTAGATGATCATATGTTTGAGGGGGGATATCCATATATTCAACCCTGTTCCATTAGTCTGCAGCTCTGCCTTTGTTCCAGTACCATGCTGTTTTAATTATTACTGCTTTGTAGTAGAGTTTGAAGTTAGGGAGGTTGATTCCTCTCATTTTCTTTTTCCCAAGAATTGCTTTAGCTATTCGTGGGGGCTTATTGTTCCATATGAATTTCAGGAGTGTTTGCTCCATTTCTTTGAAGAATGTCGTGGGTATTGTTATAGGAATCACATTGAATTTATACAATGCTTTGGGGAGTATTGCCATTTTGACGATGTTAATTCTCCCGATCCATGAGCAGGGGATATCTTTCCATTTCCTCATGTCCTTTTTTATTTCCTGAAGTAGCGTTTTGTATTTTTCTTTGTACACATCCTTTACTTCCTTAGTTAAGCCGATTCCTAGGTACTTGATTTTTTGGAACAACACATTTTTGAATCAGAAAGACCAGTTCTTATTATACCCTACCACTATTTTAACTTTTCTGACTCCTAGTTTTCTTATATGTTAAATATAAAAGGACTTGAAGATTTATTTAATTTATTTATTTATTGGGTTTTTGGTTTTTGGGCCACACCCTGCAGTGTTCAGGGGTTACCCCTGGCTTGGCACTCAAGAATTATTCCTGGCAGTGCTTGGGGGACCATATATGGTGTCCAGGTTGGCCACGTAACAAGGCAAGTGCCTTACCCACAGTATTACCTTTCCAGTCCTTAACATTATTTTATTCCTTGCCCCCCATCAGGGCTGGGTGTACCCCTTGGCCCTGTGCCACCCCGCCCTCCTTCACATTATTTTAGAGCAAAGGGAAAATTAGGAATATATCTTAGCACAGTGTTTAAATGGGTATTGCTTTCAGTTATGTAGAACGTGAGATTATTAGTACAACAGGAGTATAACTTTTATTTCTCCATGTGCCTCTTGATCCTGAGCTGATTTTTGTCAGTTTTTGCTGTTTGGGGATGATTCTAGTAACCCCTTTTAACTACTCTAGGGTTCTCTCTGTTAAATGTTGTTGTTTAATATGCATACTTATCTCAACTCTGGTTTTAATAGAAGAATATACAATGGAAATGAGTAAAAATGTAAAGATATTAAAGATACTAAAGTATTTAGTTAACTTTTGGGGTGGTAGTGGTTGGTCATACTCAGCTGTGCTCAAGGCTTACTCTGGCTCTGTGCTCAGGCATAACTGCTGGTGGTTCTTGGGGAACCATATACGGTACTTGGGTCTTGGTCAACTTGCATGCAAGGCAAGCCCCTATTTTGGTAACCTTTTAAAGAACCTCCTTAGAGCATCAGATTGTTAAATCATTATATATTCCTTTTCCCAAATGACTTCATACTTTGCATACTGGGAACTAGTCTTTCTTTCTTTCTTTCTTTCTTTCTTTCTTTCTTTCTTTCTTTCTTTTTCTTTTTTTCTTGCTTGCTAGCTTGCTTGCTTTTTAGGTCACACCCGGTGATGCTCAGGGGTTACTCCTGGCTCTGCAATCAGGAATTACTCCTGGCAGTGCTCGGGGGACCATATGGGATGCCGGGGATCAAACCCAGGTCGGCCACATGCAAGCAAACACCCTACCCGCTGTACTATCACTCTGACCCCCAAGAGAACTATTTTTTTCTGGTTAAGTATCATAATTTTTTGTTGTTATTGCTCAAAAATGTCATTTTCAGGGCCCAAGAGATAGTACCATTGATAGGGTGCTTTCCTTGCACACAGTGGGCCAAGGTTCACCCCTCTCCCCCACAGCACTGCATAGGTTCCTGAGTACTCCCAGGAATGACTCCTGAGCACAAAGCCAGGAGTAAGCCCTAAGCACTGTTGGGTGTGGCCCAAAACAAAACAAAGTTCATTTTCAGAAATCACAGTCTTCTTGCTCTTGCTGCCATACTGATACTGAAAAGAAATTTAAGGCAGTTAGAAAAGCAAAGGAGGCACACAGAGAGAATGACAGGGAAAGGGGGTAGGGAAAGAGATCTTGGACTTGGAATACTTTTGCTTTAGGTACCCGGAGGGGACTAAGCATAAATCTTATTCTGGGTTCTGGGAAGGAAAAGGGATACAAAGTAGTATAAAAACTAGGAAACTGGTATGCAAGTATGACCCTCTTATACATGTAATGGAACTAACTACTTCCTAACATATTCATCTCTAGCAATTTGTGATTGCGTACACAATCATAACAATAACAGTAATACATAAGCATGTGTAATGCCTAACTAAAACTTGTTAGTACTCCGATTAAAACTTCGTTAAATTTCCCCACAAACAAGGAAGGTAGTGCCTGCTACCATTTCAGTTTTAGAAATGAGAAAACAGGATGAGTAGGTGCCCACTGTGATTGGCTGACATCTAATTAAAGCTATCTGATTCCAGAGCTTGTACTGTTAATGAGGACTTTAAGCTTTCTCAGATCGATGATGCTTTTACTCTCCTGGAACTTGAGTTGAATAAAAAAATGAACCTCCAGAATGATGAACAGTGAATTGGACTCCCTCTTCCTATTTCTTCCCATAAATAATAATCGCCTAGTATTTCAGGTTGATCTATAAACTATACATAATATTTCCTATTAGACTCAGATTAAATTAAAAAATATCATTAGTAGGTAAAAGTGAAGTTTAACTGTGAGTATTCATGTATATGAGAAATGTTATAGCATTAAGAGTGAGATTTAAAAATTTTATTATAAATATGTAATGAGTATTAATTTCTATAAAATATACTTAGTCACATGCATTTAATATTTTTATGTGTTTATATACTCTTCCTATATTTACAGAATGATCTTTACTTTATCAAGAAGTCAAATGCTAAAAATTTTGATGAAAAACAGGCCCTTCTGACCAAAATAAATGAACTAAACCTTTTCAATGACACATCAGAGAAGGAACTTAAAAAAGTAAAGACTTTGAAACAGGTAGGATGAAATCATACACATACATATTTTTTTTGGATTTCTGGTTTCTCTTTGGCCCATTCTTCCATTGAAAACATTATATATATGTATATATGTATAAGTACATGTGTTATTATTTTATGTAAACACATATGGCGGCCACACCCCGCTCTTTTGATAACTGCAGAAAATAGAAAAAACAGGGAATTTTTGGGGAGTTGTCAGGGTATGGGGCACACCTGGTGGTGCTTAATCTTTACTCCTGGCTCTGCAATCAGGAGTCACTCCTGAAGGTGCTTAGGGGACCCAATGGGATGCCCGGGATCAAACCCAGGTTGGCCGTATGCAAGGCAAGTGCCCTCCCTGCTGTGTGATAGCTCCAGTCCCTCAAAATAGGGAATTATTGAGAAGAAAGTAAGTCACTGTCATCTCTGCATGTAAGAGAAAGTATTAGTATCCATTATTTCCTTCTAGTCTTTCAAAGAAAATTGACAGATGTATTTAAATTTATTTTATGAGCTGGAGAGGTAGTGCAGTAAGTGAAGGTGCTTTCCTCACTTGCAACCAACCTGTGGACTGACCCTAGCACCTCATATGGTTTCCCGAGCCTGCCCTGAGCACAAATCCAGGAGTAAGCCCAGAGCACCATTGTGTGTACCTGAAAAAAAGTGCTGAAATTATTAAATCTTAAAATTATTTTAATATATTTTATGTTCTCAAAAATTCAGTATCCCTTAAACTGTTGTTTTTAGAGATGGGGATGTGCTCAGTGGTACAGCACTTGCCTGCATGTGTGAGGCCCTGGGTTTGATTCCTGGCACAAGGTGTTCCTCCAAATCCCTAATTGGCAGCAGCTCCTGAATACCACAGGGTGGTCCTAAAAAGATAAAACCACATGTGTGTGTCCATGTGAATACATATTAAAGGTCTTCTGGGGTTCACTTCATGAAATTACAATTTAAACATGGCTTGCTTTTGGCTATATGCTTCTCTCCAGTGTTTTTTCGTTTGTTTGTTCCTTTTTGGTTTTGGTCTACACCAGAGGTGCTCAGGGCTTACTCCTGGTCTCTGCTCAGGAGTGACCCCAGTGCTTAGAGGACCACAGGATGAACTGTGGCGTGCCACAGGCACTGCAAGTACCTGAACCTCTGCTCTCTTTGAAGCAGTGTTGTCATATGCAGTGCATGGATGTTATAATACAACAATTCAGTTCATTCCTAGAATAAATTTCTAGCTGTAAAATTTATAGTCCAGAGAGAATGAAGAGTCCGGAGAGCTAGCGTGTGCAGACATGCTATGCATGCAGGAGGTCCAGGTTTGGTTCCAGGCACTGCATGGAACAGCGGAACCAGGAGTAGCCTCTCAGCACTTCTGGGTATGGCCGCCTCCACCAAAAAACCCCAAAGATGGAATATTTTCAGCTTCTTAAAATTCTTTTTAAAATAGGTTGCCCTCTACAGGATTTAATAAATAACCCCACCAGCCAGATGTAAACATTCTCTCTATTTTACTGCCAATGATAAATATTATAATTTTAAAATGTTGCCAATTTAGTGGGCAAACATAGGCTCCCATTGTTTTCATTTGAATGCCTAAAATTGGGGATATTTGAAAACATATTTAAACATAAAATTTAAATATATCTGAATTAAAACATACAAAACATTTTTCCTATTATATTATGTTCCATAATTTTTCTTTTTTTTATTTCTGATATCCCTTTGAATACCATACATATCTTCCATTGGAGACAATATATACATGTGTATATGATATATGTATATAGGTATGAATATATGTTATTATGTATACATACATATTTGGGGCCACACCCAGCTGTGATTAGGGCTTACTCCTGGATCTAGGTTCAAGGAAACTCCTGCTGGAATTTGAGGGACCATGTGGGGTGCCAGGAATTGAATACAGGTCAACCACGTACAACGCAAAAACTCTTCCCGTTGTACTATTTCTCCAGCACTTATATTTTTAAGTTGCTTTTAAATGGAAAAAGATCTCCGTATGTAAAAGTACTAGATGTCACATATATTGTCAGTATTTTTCATGTTATTAAATTTTAATTCAGTTTTGATATAAAATCTTTTTTAACAGAAATGTTTGTCTCCAACCCCATGTCTTTTTATATGTACAAACTTCTTGGTCATCTTGAAAATCAGACAAACGTGTACGGTTTCTAGTAGCCTTACTGGTTTAATTTCTTACACTGCTTACTTCTTTCACCTGGAATATATATTTTGCTACATACAAGGTTAGGTATATAATCCTTTTTGGGGGGGGGGCACATCCAGCTGTGCTTAGGGCTTACTTTTAGTTCTGTGATCAGGGATCACTCCTGGTGGGCTCAGGGGACCATATGAGGTGCAAGGGGTTAAGCCTGTGTCTGGCATGCACAAGGCAAGCACCCTACCTGCTATACTGTCTCTGATCCCCAAGAAAATATCTTACAAAGATAAAATTTTATCTGACTACAAAGGTATTTTCTGAAATAGTAAAACTGAAATAGTACGTTGTGTTCTGGAGTGTTTATTTTTAAGCTTTCTATTCGGCACACTGATCTATTTTGTACTCTGTCAAGTAGGCTTATGTTGGCACTGAGTGGTCATCCATCAGACTTGATGTACTTTCTGGATCTAGTAAATTTCAATTATGTCAATAACCTTTTAAAATAGAATTTTTACTGTGAAACTTTAAAACTGACTTATAATAAAAGACTTGGAATAGCCATAGACACATTTCTTAAAATGAAAGTAAAAAACCAGGGTCACGGCTAATATCAAGCTAAGTGTTAAATGGTATTGTCTTGGCAGGATAGAAAAAGTTGTATTTTCATATTTGACTTTTGTTTTTTGTTTTTGGGCCATGCCTGGTGGTGCTGGGAATTACTTCTGACTCTATTCAAGGATCATCTTGGCAGTTCTCTGGGAATACCATATGTAGTGGGGTATTGATGCTTGCAAGGCAAACTCTAGGCTGTTATAGTCTCTCCAGGGCCAAGTTTGACTTTTGTAGCAATACAAAATTAACTTTCAGGTTTTGCTTTAAAGATAATTATTTCAGTACTTGTTGGCATTGTTACTTTGATAGGATTTGATGATAGAGGACAATCTTTTAAAACTTGAAGTTAAACGCACTCGAGAGATGCTTCACAGTAAGGCAGAGGAAATTCTTTCGCTGGAAAAAAGAAAACAGCAGTTAAGAACAGCTATGGAAGAACGACTCGAAGAAATTAAGGTTCACAAAGCAATGCTGTTATCGCAAATACGATTAGTTGATCAAGAGCGGCAAAACATAAGGTGATAATTAGAATCTTAAAATATTTCTAAATCTGCATTGCAAACTGTAATATCTAAAATGAGAGAGAAAAAGAGAGAGAAGAGAGGGCCTGCAATAGAGGCAGGTGGGGGGTCAGGGGTGTCTTGGAGGGGTGGGAGGGCAACTGGGGACACCAGTACTGGGAAATTACCTGTTGGAGGGATGGGTGTTTGAACATTGCATGACCCAGTAATGAATAGCTTTGTAATGCTCCATCTCACTGTGGTCTATCTATCTATCTATCTATCTATCTATGGAATATATATGGGCTGGAGCGATAGCATAGCAGGTAGGACGTGTGCCTTAAATGCTGCTGATTGGATGTGTCAACCTGGGTTCGATTCCTCCACCCCTCCTGGAGAGCCCGGCAAGCTACCGAGAGTATCTTGCCCACATGGCAAAAGCCTGGCAAGCTCCCTGTGATATATTCGATATGCCAAACACAGTAACAACAAGTACAATGGAGACATTACTGTCTATATATAGAGACAGGTTATGTAAAGGAAAATTCACAAGTCATAAACATGTGAAAAACTATTAGTGTCATAAAACTTTGAGTAAAAATAAGTAGAATGTAAAAACATAAAATATTGAAAACTTGTAAGGTTGAAGTTAGAAAAACTGTTTCCCCATCACCTTGATTATCTGAAAACAAATTTGATGTGTAAGACATTTTGTAGGCAAATGTCTAGTTTCCCTCTTCGCCTCCTCATTCTCTCTGTTCTCTCTCTTATGTTAGATTATTAATTTCCTTGGACTTTATTTTTGTGTATGGTTTTGGATAAGGGTCAAATAATACATTTTAAATACTTAACAGTATCCAAATAAGTAGTATCTTATAAATAAGATAAATAGCTACATTTTTGTAACACCCCCTCGCCTTCTCACACAGACACACACACACTTTATTTAAATACTATGGTTTACAAAGTTGTTCACAATGATTTGTTACAGGCATTTAATATTCCATTACCAATCCCTCCACCTCTATCAATTTCTCCACCATTGTCTCCAATTTCTCTAATCACCTCTCAAACCTGCCCCCAAAGTTGGCCCTCAAATAGCTGCATTTTTGGAAGCAAGTTTCCCCTAGAGGTTTTGCATATCATTTATAAGATTTATTCCTGGCCAAAGTTTATTTATTTATTTATTCATCTATTTGTTCTTGGGCCACTCCACTGGAGTTCATGGACTACTCCTGATTCTGTTCTCCTAGGTGACTCCCAGTGGAGTTTTGGGGAACCGTATGAGTGCTGGGAATTGAACTGAGGTCAGTGGCTTGCTAGGAAGTACCTTACCCCTAAACTATATCTCTTATTTTTAAAATGTAATTGACCTTTGCTCTTTATTAGAGTTGTCAAATTCCATTGTATGCATTTATCTTAGTTTGTTTATATGTTACCTGATGAATATTTCTTTACAGTTTTGGAGTACTACAGATTTAGCTTCTATAACATATGCTTTCTTGATATGGATATGCACTTTCTTTTCTCTTGGGTAAATATATCTAGAAGCAGAACAGTGGACTTACGTGATGGGATCAAATGACTGCCCATTTTTAATTGGGTTTGCTTTTTTAATTGGGTTTGTTTTTCCCTTCTCTGTTCGGAAGCTATGCAATCTAATTTTAACTTTATTTTTAAATTCAAAAGAAACATTGATCTTCCTCTTTATAGTAATATTATAGTAATATAGTAAGTAATGGGCTGAAGCGATAGCACAGCAAGTAGGGTATTTGCCTTGCACGCAGCCAACCTGGGTTCAATTTCTCCACCCCTCTCGGAGAGCCCAGCAAGCTACCGAGAGTATCCCGCCCGCATGGCAGAGCCTGGCAAGCTCCCCATAGCATATTAAATATGCCAAAAACAGTAACAAGTCTCAAAATGGAGATGTTACTAGTACCCACTCAAGCAAATCGATGAACAATGGGAGTACAGTATAGTAATATAGTAATATGCTATATATTACTAGTATAGTAAGTAATATAGTAATATACTATATATTACTAATATATAGTGATTATAGTAATAATATAGTAAGATTAGTTTCTATAATTATTTCTTTACTAAAAGGGATAGAATTTTACTTTAGCATTTTCTCTCCACTGCTTTTATATTATGGAGAAATCTCCAATTAATATTTTTAAGTTGGGGCCGGGAAGATAGTTTAAAGGACTACTGCAAATGCCCAGAAAAGGGCTTTTGCAGGCAAGAGGCCTGGGTTTGATCAATGCATAATTCACTGAACGAGGTATTTGAACACCATTGGGTATAGCACAAAAGCCAATTCCCTTCCCCAAATAGTTTTGTTATTATTTCTAATATTACATCTCTATATTTGAAAACCTAAAACTTACTTTTATTAAAGTGTATAGCCAACTGCCAGAAATTATTTCACCCTAGCTGTTTTAATTGATTCATTGTTGGTTTTATCATCTTGTGTATCCTTTGTCCTTCTGTTCTCTTGGAATCCTATTTCATTTCTGTGGAATATGGTTTAATATTTTTTCAGGAGATGATGTTTTCTGAAAGTTTTTAGACTTTGAGTATTTAAAATGTTTTCTTCTCACCTCTGTTTGAATTACACTTGAATTTTGAGAGCACTGTTTGATATTATTCTAGGTCACAGAATTGAAATTTTTGAGCCCAGTCTCATTTATTTTATTTTGTAGGTACTTTTTGTGTTTCCTTTATGGAAGTTTTGGGACAGTGTTTTAATCTTTTGGGTTTCATAATTTCTACGTATGTATCTGGGAGTGATGTTTATTTTTTAGAATTTCTTCATGTTTGGCCCTTGACAAACTCTTTCAGTTATTTCATTCTTTCTTCAGGTCAGGGACATGTTTTCCTATTCTAGTTTTCTCACACCAGCCTTTAATCTTATTTATTGTTCAGTTTTTTCAGGGAAATTAGCCCTTTAGATTTATCTTTCAGATTTCTTAGCTATCATATTATTTTAAAATTTTATACTTTTTCCTTTTGAAAATATTTATTTTCTCTTCATCATCCTTCTGTCTGTTGTCTTCCCTGTTCCCCGATTCTCTCTCTCTCTCCATTTTTAGATATCACCACCTGAAGTCTTCTTTGCTGTTATCAAGTTGAAAAGGATGCAATATACTCTCATAAATCTTTACGAGAAGATGAGTTAGAATACTTTGTTTTGGGACCATACCTGGTAGTGCTCAGGGACTCTATGCTTGAGAGACTATGTGGTGCCAGGGATCTAACCCAGGACTCCTGCATGCAAAGCATGCACTTAGCCCGTTGATCAATCTCTCTTGTCCTAATTAGACTGTGTTAAGTAGTTGAAGTTTATTTTCTATGGCAAGCATTATATTTGTTTCTCCTAGAGTCTAACGTGCAGTTGCTTGTTTTGTTGTTTTTATTCATATTACTAGCTTTCTAATTTTTGTTATATTATTAAATAATTCACAATCTGTAATTACTAGTGTACCAATTGATATGCATTTCTTTTGAACTGACTTTTTTGGGTGGGGAGCTTTAGGGATCATCCCCAAAGGTGCTTGAGGTCTGTTCCTGGATTTGAGTTGAAGGGTCACTCCTGGAGGTGCTTGGGAGGGTATATGATGTGGGGGGCAGGACAGGGGGTTGAACCTAGCATCCAAACATACCTTCAACCCATTGTGATAACTCTGCAATTTCAATTAGGCCCAGTTTTCTCAATACAATTGGAAGGCCTGATTGTGGCCTGTGAGCTAATCCCATAAGGGATGTAAGAGTTTTATTATGTGCAATGAAAGTTTTATTTTTATATGAAGCTGCCTTTCTTCTTCTTTTTCGCTGTGAAGAATTGGAATTCTTTGTTTACTTTGAACAGTTGAGGTATGCAACTCTAAAGTTCTGTGGACATTCCTATTATTTATTATCTTGCTTATTTATTATCTTGTTTTTACTTCTTATTCCTAAGGCTGGATTTTCTACTGATTTCTTTGATGGAAAATGGACTGTTTTTGCAGTAATTTTCTGTGTGTATTTTCATCCCTGCACTTCCCATTCCATACTCTGGTGAAAAATATGGATGCAGAGACTTAAATACATGCTTTTTTGCATGGATGAGGATTCATTTAGCATATCTGACAAAATAGATATTACTACATAAAGATCCAAGGTCAATAAACCAAGAAGATGCAATGTCAACAATATTTGCACACCATCACAGGTACACCTAATTATACAAAGCAATTATTAACCTCAAGGGATACACCGACAAAACCCACAGTGATTATAAGGTTACTAAATACATAACTTCTGACACTGAGAAAGATCATTTAAATCTAAAAATGTAAAACAAAAACTAAGGAAAGAATGCCATTAAATGGAATAATTAATGAGGTAGACTTTATAGATATAGATATTTTTATACCTCAAATAAATAAATACATTCTTCTCAGGTGCACATGGACCTTTATCGGGATAGAAATGTTGGGATATAAAAGTAGTCTTAAATATTAAAAGATTATAATATCAAGCATCTTTTATGAGTAATGATATCTTGCTAGGAATTAGAAACAGAAAATGGAAAAAACTCAAATACATGGAAAATAAACTTTTGAAAAATTCTTGGGTCACAGTGAAGAAATTAAAAGATAAATAAAAGGTAAAGGCCCTCCCGTTGATCGTCGATTTGCTTGAGCGGGCCCAGTAACGTCTCCATTGGAGACTTTGTTGTTACTGTGTCTGGCATATCGAATACTCTCGGAAGCTTGCCGGGCTCTCCGAGAGGGGCGGAGGAATCGAACTCAGGTCGGCCATGTTGGCCGCTTGTAAGGCGAACGCCTACCCGCTGTGCTATCCTAGAGAAAAACAAAAATAAGAAGAATGGATTCTCAGGCCCTATATTCTGGGTGTTACAAAAATAGGATTAAGAGGGAAAAGTCTAACCTTTCACCTCAAGGAACCAGAAAAAAGAGAAACCAACATAACCAGAAACAGAAACAAAGATGATACAAACAATGAAACTGAAGAGTTGGTCCTTTGAAAGGATTAATAGAATTGATAACACCCCAAGAAAAAGATAAAAGAATTATAAATGAAAGAGGGATGCTGCAGAAATACGGTCACTGTCACTGTCCTCCTGTTGTTCATCGATTTGCTCGAGCGGGCCCAGTAAATGTCTCCATTGTGAGACTTTGTTGTTACTGTGTTTGGCTGAATACTGAATACATCATGGGTAGCTTGCCAGGCTTTGCCCTGCGGGCGATATACTCTCAGTAGCTTGCCGGGCTCTCCAAGAGGGGCGGGAGGGGGGGGGGGGAATCGAACTTGGGTCGGCCATGTTAGCTGTTTGCAAGGCGAACGCCTTACCCGCTGTGCTATCGCTCCAGCTATCCAGCTATCACTGGGGCGATAGCACAGTGGGTAGGGCGTTTGCCCTGCAAGTGGCCAACCCAGGTTCGATTCCCAGCATCCCATATGGTCACCTGAGCACCGCCAGAAGTAATTCCTGAGGGGTTATTCCTGGTTTTGAGGGGTTATTCCAAAACCAGGAATAACCCCTCTGCATCGCCAGGTGTGACTCAAAAAGCAAAGATAAAAGCTGCAGAAATACAAAGAAAATAATTAGAGACAACTAGAAATGTTTATAATTATCTGAGTAATTCTGAAAGAAATAAAATTTTCGGGCTGCAAAACTTTCCAATATTGAACCATGAAGTAAAAATGAACAAATCACAAGTATGATTGAAACCAAAAGACTTAGAAATTTAAAGACTTTTCAGGGGGTGAAGAGTGGGGGGGGGGGGTGATAAGTGGGACACTGGTGCTGGGAAATGTACACTGGTAGAGGGATAGGTGTTGGAATACTGTATGATTGAAATCCAAACATGAACAGCTTTGCAATAAATAAATAAATAAAAATAAGTTAAATAATATTTGCCTGATCTCACTAGTGGATTCTACCATTCTTAGAAAGAAAGATCCACGATCTACTTGAAATTTTCCAAAAAACAATTAAATAGTGGCGAGATCTTCAGATACATTCTATGAGGCCAATATTAATTACTTTGACCACCAAAACAGAAAATAAGCAGCATTAAAAAAGAAAACCATAGACAAAATTCTATAAACCCACAAGTTGATAGCGTACTCAGAAGTGAACAACTGAAAGCTGTTTCTTTAAAAACAGAAGGAAGACAAGACTGTTCACAGTCACTGTATCAATTTATGTTCATATTAGAAATCTTAGCCAGAGCAATTAGACAACAAGAACTTAAAGGAATGAAGACTGGAAAAAAATAAATGGAACTAGCATAAATTTATGGGTAACATATATCAAAAACCATCACTCATTAAAAAGGATAATAGAGTACATCAGTGTTACTAGTTGCAAAATCAATATATAAAAATCTGTTGCATCCTATATGTAAATTGCAAGAAGAACTCAAGACAGAAATCTCATTTACAATGGTAAATTGTACTGAATGAGTTCATCTTTGTGTGAAATGTAGGGGATATACAATTGATGATCAGACAAAATAAAAAAGACAAATCAGTGGACATTGGCAATATAAGATTACCTGAAGAGAAGCAAGTTGAAAAGATTGATTTCCAATTTGAGATGGAGGACGATAATTGCTGTATTTTATCGCATTGTTCCAAAGATTAGTGGGATAGTTATATGTATAATATTAATGCAGAATAAGTGCTAAGTTATTAAAAATGTTTCGTTCTTGACCATGCTGAAGTGTACAGTTCAGCTAATTTATGTCAGTTCACATTGTTGTGCAACAGAGCTCCAGGACATTTTCACCTTGTAAAACTGTTCTCAAGGCTCAATCATGAAGTATGTGACAGGAAGCCATTCTATTAAAAAAAAAAGAACAATATACTATTGTTTATATGTACCATATATATTTACTTTCTCACATTTCCCAATTTTTATTTTTACTAAGACACCATGATTTACAAAGTTATTTGTAATTGACTTTTAGGGATACTATGTTTCATCACCAGCCCCACTCCCAGTACTATATGTGTGTGTGTGTGTGTGTGTGTGTGTGTGTGTGTGTGTGTGTGTATCACTGTCATCCCGTTGTTCATCGATTTACTCGAGTGGGCACCAGTATCATCTCCATTCATCCCAGCCCTGAGATTTTAGCAGCCTCTCTTTACTCATCTTGGTATTGGAGGCTCTTTCAGGGTCAGGGGAATGAGACCTGTTATTTACTGGTTTTGGCATATTGAATATGCCATGGTAGCTTGCCAGGCTCTGCTGGTATATATGTATATATATATATATATATATATACACACACACATACATACACATATATACACATATACACATATATACACATATATACATATTAATCTATTCATGTCAATAAACATTGGTAAGCAGTTCAAGAACCTTCTTTCAATTCTTTTGGTTATATAGTTATAAGTGAGACTGAGAAATCATTATGGTTCTATTTTCAGTTTATTTGTTTTTCTTTATGATCTGCTCTACTGTTTCCCATAGAAGCTGCACTATTTATTGTTTTACTAACATTGCACAGTGGTTCCAGTTTTCCATATCCTTGTTAATACCTTTGTGTTGTTTTTTTAAATAGTAGACATCCTAATGGATGGGAAGTAAAATACAACTGTCATTTCCCTCATTTACACTGAAATTAAAGATAGTTCTCCATGAACAAAGAAAAAATGTTTATTGAACAGTCTGAAAAAACGAGCTATGTAATCGCCCCTCGTGCAAACATTGGGAATCTTTGCTTATTTCCATTTGAACGGTTAAGTTTGGGGTCCCTCCGCTGTGATGTAAATCCCCTACGTGTGCCACATTCTCTTGAGCCCTTTCTCACCTTTGTGGAACTTTGTTTGCCTGCTGAGGACCCTGGGCAAGCAAGAAGCCCGATGCTGCTTGGTAAGCCATGAAAGATCAGGTCCTTCTCTCTGACTTCGACTCTTCTCGTCTTTTACCAGCATCCACAGAACTGTTAGCTTTCAAAGAGAGTGAAATAGGAGATCCAAATTCACGCTGCGGGGGCTGGAGCGATAGTACAACGGGGTCAGGCGTTTGCCTTGCACGAGGCCAACCCAGGTTCGATTCCAAGCATCCCATATGGGCTCCAGAGCACAGCCAGGAGTAATCTCTGAGCATCGCCTGGTGTGACCCCTCCCAAAAACAGAAAAAAAAAATTCACCCTGAGTTATAAGACTGAAAAAAAAAAGAACACTTTTTAATCTGTCTCAAATTCAGTAATAACACAATACAAATGTCTTCTAGAATCGTAGTTATTTTTTTTAAGTGTATTGTTTGTCAGCTTAATGTTTCTTTTTATTTTCATATTAGTTCTGAATTTCACGACCGACTAAGTAAAATTGATAAGCTGAAGAACAGATATGAAATTATTACTGTTGTTATGTTGCCTCCTGAAGGAGAAGAGGAGAAAACCCAGGCCTATTATGTAATAAAGGTAACAATATTGGCTCTTATCTGGCTCAGTGGTGGAGCATGGCCTCACGTGAGTGAAGACCAGGGTTTGACCCCCAATACCACAAAATAAATGTTGTGTATTTATTTGTAGTGCACCTGGGCCGAACTGGGTTTGATTACTGAATTCCTCCGCCCCTCTCGGAGAGCCCGGCAAGCTACCGAGAGTATTGCACCCACACGGCAAAGCCTGGCAAGCTACCTGTGACATACTCAATATGCCAAAAACAGTAACAAGTCTCACAATGGAGATGTTACTGGTGCCCACTTGAGCAAATCAATGAACAACAGGACAGTGCTAACAGTTCTAATTTATTTGTAAACCTCAATTTGCAGCTGGAATGGAATAAAGTATTCTCTCTTTTAGCTACTTAGCAGCCAAGCTGGCGAATATTGTTTGGACGTAAAATTTCAGATTTCATAGCTTTCTAGTAACGATTGGCTTTAATTAGGCTCACAAAACTGTTGCTAGAGGAGGATGCTAAAATACTAGACTTACTCTTCCTTACATCTTGACACTCCTCAAAGGGGACTTTCCTTATCAGGCACAGGTATGGATGTGGATAGCTGAGGGGAAGGGGAATTTGGTGACAGTATTAACCACTTTCTATGTTTACGTATGAGCAAATATGGCTCTAGGCTAAATGCTATGCACCACTGTTTTTGTAAACAAGCCACAGGCACTCATGTAGGCATTGTCTATGGTTGCTTTCATGATACAACAGCAATGGCATTAAGAAGGAGTCATTTTGAGAGACTGAGTGGTTCATAATGATCACTTCTTCCTGTTTTGCCTATTGCATAAGAAGTTTGCTCACCCCAAATTTGTTAGGACTGCCTTAAAATACCACAAGCGAGGTGACTTAAATTGCAGATTTTTTCTTTTAACTTAGTGATGGAGACAAGGATTTTGAGATGCCAGTATTAGCAGGGTTGGTTATTTCTGAGAATTGTGTGAGAGAATCAGTCTCTCGTAATTTCTGGCGATTTTGTGTCAGATTTTTTTTTCTTTTTGGGTCACACCTGGCTTTGCACAGGGGTTACTCCTGGCTCATGCACTCAGGAATTATCCCTGGCAGTGCTCAGGGGACCACATGGAATGCTGGGAATTGAACCCGGGTTGACCACGTGCAAGGCAAATGCCCTACCTGCTGTGCTATCACTCTAGTCCATGTCAGTTTTTAATGTTCCTAGGTTTATGGAAGCATCACCATGTCTGTCTTATCACAGGGCATGTGTCTTCCCCTATGGATGTCTGTGACAGCACCCAATTTCTCATGCTTACTAGGACACCAGCTAAATTGGTTTCAAAGGCCAACATTGATGACCTTTTGTAGCCTGATGGCATCTATTTCCAAACAGGTTAAATTCATGTTGTGCAACCAACAATACCTACCATTTTCAAACTTCTATCCCAAACTGAAACTGCTTATTAAACAGTAACACGTTTCTGTTTCCCTCAACACTTGGCAGATATCATTCTATTTTTTCTCTGTGAATTTAATTACTGTGGGTACTTCAGAGTAGAGTCATGTAGTATTGTTTCTACTAAACAATACGGGATGCTTTACAAATTTAAAATTTGAACGTCTTGAGATTTTGACCTCCTAAAGTAAGTGCAAAAAATAAACAGTTGGTATTGCATGTATGTTCTAAGAGAAATTGCTATTGTTAAATATTTCTTGCCTGGAAAACATATATTTTCCCCCCATGAAAAATAGCTGCATTTAATTAGTTCTATTCTCTATTTCATAGGCTGCTCAAGAAAAAGAAGAGCTCCAAAGGGAAGGTGACAATTTGGATGCTAAGATAAACAAAGCTGAAAAAGAAATCAGAGCTCTAGAAAACACCTTGCAAGTGCTGAACAGCTGCAACTATAACTACAAAAAATCTTTTGCAAAAGTGACTCCAGCTAGTGAGTAGGAAATTGAAGTTGTCTTTATGAAAGTACACAAAGAAATCTGTGAGACATGGCAAATAAAAACATGCCATGTTTTACAGGGCCCGAACAGTTAATCAGCACCTCCTTTTGAAAGAAGGCTATGTTATTACCATTATTAATTCTAGGGACAAGCCTAATCACTTCTCTAGAGAATTGGCTTAAAATCTCAAGGAAAGAGGCTCATACCGGCTACTTTGTTAATAGAACAAGAATGGCCAATGCATGCCCAAACTTTTTCAACAAGTTGAAATACCTTTTGGCTAAGATCAAGTGTAGTAGGAAATTTAACATTTTGTAATAAAATTGTTTGAGCTTTAATAAATGAAGACCTAATATTGCTTTATACAGAGTATGTTAAAAACTAACAATTTTCCTAAAATTTCAGGTGAGGAGTATGAAGTAAAAATCCAACTAGAAGAACAAAAAAGAGCTGCTGATGAGAAGTACAGATATCAGCAAAGACAAATCAGAGAACACCAGGAAGATATCCAGGTAGTAATAAGCCCTTAGTAAGAGACTGCTATCATTGTTATTTCCATTTTCTTGTTATCTTTTTGTTGTTGTTGTTTGCTTTTTGGATCACACCTGGTAGTGTTCAGGGGTTACTCCTGGCTTTGCATTCAGGATTTACTTCTGGCAGTGCTTGGGGGACCATATGAAATGCCGGAGATCACACTCGGGTCTGCTGCGTGCAAGGCTAACGCCCTACCCGCTATACTGTCACTCCAGCTCCTTTCTTGTTATTATGTATGAAGAAACTTTCTTAGAGAAGTGGACAGTAAGAGAACTTTTATCTCATTTAAATTTTTAAAAAAATGGTGAAAATAAAGGGTGCTGAGATCTGCCCAGGATGGGAGATGCCTGCTGAAAGTAGTCTATGGACCGAACATGATTGCCACCCAATGTCTCTTCTGCAGACCACAGCACCCAAAACCAGAGACAGAACAAAAGGGAGTGCCCTGCCACTGAGGCAGGGTGGGATGGGGGGTGGGGGGGTGGGAGGGATACTGGTAATGGTGGGGGTGGAGAATGGGCATTGGTGGTGGGATGGGTACTCGATCATTGTATAACTGAAACCCAAGCACAACAACTTGTAAGCCTACAACTGTACCTCATGGTGTTTCACTAATAAAAAAAAAAAATGATGAAGATTCCAGTGCCGATGAGCACAGGATGGACCTCTGACAATTTCTTAAGTGATGAATCATAGCCACTTATTATCTATTCACTAACTTTATTTTATGAAGTTTTATTTCAGTTAATGAATCATAGATAATTATGATCTATTCATTAGTCTTTATGAACTTTTAATTTCAGTTAATTCAAGAAATGTTTGAAAGATAATTTTTTAAGTTGCTACTAAAGCACATAACTAAAGGAGAAAACTGTGTGCTTAGCAAAGGAGGCCCTATATAAATATTTAGATTTTCTTTGATAATGTTGAAGTGTCAGATGATATGAATTGTGAATCTTGAAAATTTCATGTATTTTTAATTGCATGTTTTCTAGAGTTACTAGTTAAATTATTTCGCCCTAAATACTGTAAAATACTTTCCAGTGGGATTATATATAAAACATAATACCATTATAATCAATAGAATTCTATATTATAGTTGACCCATGAACGACATGGGTTTGAGCTACATGGATCCACTTAAATGTGGACTATAGTTATTTTTTCCATCTGTGGGCTCAGCATTCATAGATTCGACCTACTGTGGAGATTAGTACTGTAGAACCCACAGAGAAAGGACTTGACTGTAAGTTATATCTTACATAGGGATATTCAGCTGAATAGGGTTGGTGCCTTTCTGGAGTCAACTCTATAACAAAATTAGATTATTTAAGAGATGGCGAGTTACACTGATACTTTGCTGTTCGAATACTTCCTTTTCTGCAGAGCATGGAAAACACTCTAGATGTTTTAGAACATTTAACAGGAAAAGCCAAAGCAACATTAACAGAAAAGCAGGATTCTTCATTTCAACTAAATAAAGAAACTGAGGAGCAGAAGCCAAAGTTAGAGAGAGCAGCTAAACAGGTAAATGGTCTCTTTTTAAAAAGTGACCTGTCATTTTTTTTGTTTTTGTTTTTTTGGGTCACACCTGGCGATGCACAAGGGTTACTCCTGGCTCATGCACTTAGGAATTACTCCTGGCGGTGCTCAGGGGACCATATGGGATGCTGGGAATCGAACCCAGATCGGTGGCGTACAAGGCAAACACCCCACCCACTATGCTATCGCTCCAGCCCCGACCTGTCATACTTTTGAGTTCCAAGTTGTACACCAGAATCTTCCTTAATCCGTTAAAAATATTAAATAGCAGTTGTTATTGACAACAGTGTGCAAAACTCATCAAGGAAATCCGTATTATGAAAGATACAAAAGATGAAACACTGGAAGAACAAGACATCCAGCTCCGTGAATTAAAAGAGTTCCACAGGAACATTGATGACATGTTAATTGATGTCACCGAAAATGCTGAGATCCGTGCTATCCTTCAAACCCTCTTTCAACAGGTACCTTTTAGTTAAAAACATTTTATCTTTGGGAATCAAACTTGGAGCCTCACAATACAAAGCAAATAAATGCTCTTCCGCTGGGCCACACATTCAACACTTAAGTTAAATACTCATTTTTGGTTTTGTACCACACCCAGGAGCATTCAGGACTTACTCCTGGCTCTGTGCTCAGAAATCATTCCTGGTGGGGCTCGGGGACCGTATGGAATATCGGAGATTGAAGCCAGTTGGCCACATGCCAGGCAAGCACCCTACCTGCTGTACTATTGGTCCAGCCTCATAAATGAAAAATTTCAGAAATTTGTGAAAATTAACTTATTAATGATAAAGCCAAATCTAACACAAACTCATCTAAAATGCAGCAGTACTAACAATTGCTTTTTTTTCTTTTTCAGAATGACTTAGAACTACCTGTTAGCTCTAAACGTAACCGAACAAGTTCTACATCTCCCTCACAGACCTCCCTGTTATCAGGAAGGTAAGTTGGTTGAAAAATTATCTCTGTCACATATGCTACTTTCCAAGGAGCTTCCATATCACAAAGCTTCTGGATCTGAGTATACGCCCTCCTTGTCTACACCTTGTATTTTTGGTGTTATTGTGTTCCCTTGTGACAGAATGCTTTGTAACTACCAGTTATTGGGTGCAGTTTTGGAGGTTACTTCTAGCATAACCAATTCTGATGAAGGGCACATTTTTGGAGGACACAGGGGTCTGTTGGGTTAGATCACATGTGTAAGTGCTTGGTGGGTTACATGTGGTGCTAGGTATTGAACTGTGGATAGCTGAGTGGAAGTCAAGCACCTTAACCTCACTTTACCCCTTGTACTGTCCTAAAGGGAAAAGTTTAAATCATAAAAGGGCAATTTAGATGTATAGACATATGGAATACTGGGGGGGGGGAGGGGGATGAGTTGCCACCAGTGATTTTATCAAAAGATTTAAAAATTTTAGGCATCATGATTGCGACAGTACAAATGGTGCAATTGTTAATAGTTTCATGCTTACAATATGCTAATACCACACCCTCCCCTACTACCTCCTCACCATGGAATGTTTTTTATGAATAAAATGACATCATAGAAAGTCAGGATTTTATTTATGCTAATTTTTTAAAAAGCCGTACTTTTGTTCTTCTTGGGTTTGGGGCCACACCCAGCGGTGCTCAGGGTTTACTCCTAGCTCTGTGGTAGGGATCACCCTTGGCAGTGCTCAGGGACCATAGAAGTTGCTGGGGATTGAACCTGCATTGGCCACATGCAAGGCAAATGCCCTGCCTGCTGTACTGTCTGGTCCCAAAGAAAGTTTGAATTTCATCTAGAATTCTATCATTAATTATGTTGAACCAACGTTCATGCTTTGCTGACAAAACTGAAAATTCCCAGTCTCTTACATTAGCAGCCACTTAATTACTTTTCATTAGTCTAAAGTAGAAAAATCAAAGGGGGACATCTTAAAAGTGCTAAGGGGGGAAAAAAAGTGTTCCAGATATGAACATGGGCTGGAGCGATAGCACAGCGGTAGGGCATTTGCCTTGTGCACAGCCAGCCCAGCCCAGCCAGGTTCGAGTCTGTCCCTCTTGGAGAGCCAGGTAACAGTCGAGAGTACCTGCCCCGCAAGGCCAAGCCTGGCAAGCTACCCGTGCCCTATTCCATGTATTCCATATGCCAAACACAGTAACAACAAGTCTCAAAAAAATGGAGACGTTACTGGGCCCGCTCGAGCAAATCGATGAACAACGGGAGGACAGCATGTTACAGCATGTTATGTGAACATAAGGAGCAGCCTTTTCAACATCTTTGTACTTTTTTTGGTGTGTGCAGGGAGGAGGAGAAAGGATGGATGGGGGTTGGGCCACACCCAGTTGTCAGGGGTTACTACTAGTGGTGCTGGAGTGCTTTTTTTCCTTCCGGGGATCTGGTTTGGGGCCACACCTGGTGGAACTCAGGGATCGCTATTGGCAGGGCTTGGGTGACTATATGTGAATCCGCAATGAACCCCGGGCCAGCCAAGTGTCCTAACTGCTGTATGATTACTCCAGCCCCTGTGCTGGGTCTTGAGGCAAGGTCAGCCGGATATAAGGCAAGTACCTTACCCACGTATCTGTTATGTCATTAAAAAAAAAAAAGACAAAACATCTCTGGGGCTGGAGAGAATACAGCAGATAGGGCACTTGCCTTGCACATGGTCAATCTGGGTTTGATCTCTGGCATCCCCTAGGGTTCAGGGTGTGGCCCCCAAAGTAAAAAAAAAAAATAAAACATTTCAGAATTACATGTCTATGTTTTTGGTTTGTGATTAACTCCACTGTTTTAAATCTATTAACAGGCCTCTCCCTTTCTTCTCATCTTAAATTATCTTTCAATGGTCACTTTTGCCAGTATCCAAATTCTCATGCTTCATTTAAAAAAAAAAAACTTAGTTTCAATGGTTATGCAAATGTTTAATGATTCCACCTCTAAATTGTGACTAAAAACATTTTTCTTATAAACACATTTGTTGAACTTTCCTACTGAAATTGTTCCTTTCTCTTCCTTTTCAAACATGAATTTCTGTACATTTTAAAATTGTTTTTATTAGAACTACTAAGAGTATGTAGTTCTGGGTCTCATATTTACTTGTGAAATTATGTTTCTCTTGTCATCAATGATAGAATCTCTACTAAAATAGAAATTTAAAATTAATTTTACATTGTTTCTCTTCTAGATCATCTAGGAGCCCAAACACTGCTAATTCTCAGGTGTCGGTGAAGACGTTAGAGCTGAACTTCCCAGCCTCCCATTCCCAGTCAAGTGGCTCTAGGTCCGCCAGTGCCCTCAGTACCTCCAGTTCCGTGAAAGGCAAAAGGAAGAGCAAATAGGTATTTTAAAGTCTTTTGAACCAGCTGTAACCACAAACCCCAAAATCTCAATGTTAAAATAGGGAATCCTGCTTTTAGTCTTTTGATATAGTATTGAAATTGTGCCAGAAACATCAGGTGACTAGACGGAAGTTTTATACGGTGGAAAATGTTAAAACTCAGTCAAAAAATTGCAATTCACTTCTACTGTGACAATCTTTCTGGGAAAAAATTTGTAAAGATTCACTGTGCTATCAAGAATTTGCAACACTACTAGAATTCTTATTTACCCACAAAATTTTGAAATTAGGTTTTCTTTATTCCAAGAAAAAAAATTTACTAGACTTTTGGTGGAAAAATCTGCTAGAGGTAGTTTCTTCTCTGGCATATTTTTTTTACCCAACCCCTCCCCTCCTTTCCTCTGAAAAAACGTTAGTTCCTCATTATTCCCCTGAAAACTGATAGGAAAGAGAACACTGGATAAATACAACTAAAGCTTCCGTTTCTAGAAATTGCTCCATTCTTTTCTTGAAAGAAATTAAGCTATTGCTCAAGATTTGCACACATAAATGTTTCTTCAGGAATTTGGCATAAAACATGATTTAAATAAAGCTCAGTACAATTTTATTTATAATAGTAATCTTATACATTTATAGTGGAGGTAGATTAGCTATCTTAGAATGTATTTTCCTAGGTTTTAAAACATGCTCAACTCTGAACTCTTGGAAGAGCGTGGAGTGTAACTGCTATAAAGCTGGTTTTCAAAATGGTGTGGTATGTACTTGAGTATAATAAACCTTGGGAAAATATTCCTCTCACAACTCTGCTTGTTTACAGCTGTCATTTTGCATTTCCCTTTGAAAGGCAGAAAAGTGGAAGTAAACATATTTCTCCTAAAATCATTTGAATATTTTACTATCTTTAGTAACAGACAGCAAAAGGCAACCTTTTGGGTCAATGAATAAATGGGTGAAAGAGCTGAAAAAGATCATTTTATTTATTTTGGCTAAAACGTTTTATTGCATGAGATATACAAGATCTAAAAATTGATTAATCTTACAGCCTGTGAATATTCACCAGATTTCTTATTCTCTATCATTTCTTGTAAATTACCCAGAACCATCATAAACGGAGACAAACCTTGTGCCTCACAATGTGAAGCATGTAAGAGATGCAACATGGCATTATATAAATGAATGGAATTTGAAAAAAATAGAATAAAATTTCAATATTTTTTATTGAAAAAATAAAAATTGGCTCACTAGTCCTGTAACCGTGGGCAAGTTCTCTTTTGGGGAGGGGTCTCCCACAGTGCTCAAGGGGACTGGGCAGCACTCTGAGCAATACCTAGCCACAGACCTGAAAGTTCAGTGCTGGTGCTGGGATGTGCTCAGACACAGCAATGCTGGGGGCCACATCTTAAAGATCTTGGTGGAGCAATGTGCTACCGGGGATCCAACTTGGGGCCTTAAGCATGCAAGGCACGTGCTTCAGCCCTTTGATCTCCCTGACCTTGAACGTTAATTCTTTCATGCTTTTTACCATTTGTCACACACAGTAAAAGTGAACCACAAGTTTTGAAATCATTAAACATTGACAAAATGTACAAGGTTTAAGGGGTAGAGAGATAGTAATGTGTAGGGTGCTTGTTTCGTATGCAGCCAACTGGGTTCAATCGCCAGCATCCATCTCGTCACCTGAGCACCCGCAGGCATAATTCTGGAGTACAGAGCCAAGAGTAATCCTGGAGCAGTGCAGAGTGGCTCAAAAGCCAACCAGTCAATCACCCAACCAAAAAAACCAAGACACAGAAACTACAAAGTAACTTTTCCAGGCATTAGAAACCTTACAGCAAAATAGTATTTTGTATAGTGATTAGATTCTCAGGCAAGTATAAGTTTTTAATTCTTAAAAGTTTCTTCTTTGGTGTAATTATGCAAAATATTGAGATAAGAGATATACCCTATTAACTTCTAAATCTAGAATTAGCTTAACATCCACCACAGCATTAGAAAATTTCCATATACAAATGGAAACCAAGGCACACAATCTTAGTAGATACAAACTGTAGTTATGTTAAGGAAAAAAACTGCTGACCCTTTATTGGAAACAATGGTAGATTTACTGAAGACATCCTTAGTTAACTGGCCTATATATTCGAAAGTATCACATATCCCAGGAAAGCATTTCTTGATAAAGAACTTTGGAAGTTGATGAGATCTGTGATTTGAATCAGGCTGCTGCTTACGTTTTCGTACTAATCACCTTAAATCTAGGTGTAACATTAAGCCAAAGATTCTGCAACATTAGTGTCGACAATGTTCTAAAGATGCTGTATGATTCTGACCTTATTAGGAGTCCTTAAAAGGTCAAGGGCTAAGAGATTGCTTTTACACTTTAAAACTACAACTTTGTTGAACTAAGTCGGGATGGTATTAGGAATCCCTTATAGTAAGTTTCTTGATGCAAAGAAAAATCCCGGAGTGGGAGGCCTATTTCTACCATTACCTAATTGTTTTTGACTAGATTTCTTTTGGTCTGTTGCAAAGTAAAGTTTAGCTTTTTCATTAAGCTCCTATCATTGGAGTCCAGAGTTTTGATATTTTACAGTTAGAGGAGCTGTAGAACGAAGAATAAAGCTTCTTAATCATTCACTCTCATTTATACTTTGTAGATGGATAATCAGATGTGTGCTTCCCACTCCCAACTCTATTGTTACCGCGATGATATTATGGGCCTTTGTCATTTATTATGTCTAGAATCTTAGTGTGGAAAAATTCTACGAGATCATTTTAAATTCACATTCATGACTCATTTCTGTATTTTAATTAGGAAGGAGACTTCTGACCCAAGTACTATCCTTCAGTCCTGGTTGCCAGGCTGCTGGCTTAGCCACACAGGAGAAAGGTAACATCAAGAGAGAGATGGTAATAAAGTAGCAAAACACAGTAGCAAAACCCCAAATAACCCAATTAAAAATAGGCAAGCGATCTGAACATGTTTTTCCATAAAGTAGTAGTTAGTAATACAAATAGCAAACGGGAAAAGATATCAGTGTCATTTAATCATACGGGAAATGCAAATTAAACCACAATGACTAAGCAAATCATGGCTGCAAGAATGGTTGGTATCAAGAAGCCATGCAATAAGTGCTGGTGAGGATGTGGAAACAGTGTGATGGGGACTGTCAGTTGGCACAACACTGTGGAGAGCAGTTATGGAAGACTTTAGATCAGATCCTGTCACATGGTTCAGCAATTCCTCTTCTGGTACATTACTAAATGCACTGAAACAGTAAGCTCAAGAGCGATCTGCACTTCCCCATGGCTTACAGCATGAATTGTGGCATGTGTCTGCATGTACACTCTGGGCCATTACTCAGGCACAGGGAAACCTGCTATTTGTGACAATATAAAAGTATGAGTTTTCAGGTGTCATGCAACCTGAAACAAAACCAGACTCAGAATCTGTGGTCAGCAGGGAGAAGTGAGAAGAGAAACGGGAGAAAGGTCTAACTTCTAATTGTGTAGTAGAGGTAATATACAACATAATAACCATAGTTGTGTGGTAACACTTGAAATTTCAGGGTAATTTCTAAAAATTTATATTGCAAGGTAGCTTTTACAAAGCATATTATCCTAATTATTTCATTATATATGGCAAATTATATTTTATATGTTAATCTTATACATTGTGTTATATGTCGAAAGTTACCTCAAAACTGGTTAAAGGGGGAAAGAAAAGTTCTAAAATATACATATATGAGGTATAACGCTCTAGACAACACTAGGCTATTTGAAGGCCTATCTAGTACTTTCCCAACTGGAGATTTCCAATACCTGAGCAATTATCTAAGTTTCCTCCTCTGTGGAGAACAAGATTTTAGTATGCTTCTCTTTGCATTGCCAGTTTTGTTCATAGGATTCTATTTTATTCTGCTCTATTGCAGAAATGTCTCCAAGGGTCTTGTCAATAGTTAAAGTTAAAATATATTAATTTTTTCATCTTGGACCACACCCAGTGGTGCTGAGAGTTGACTCCTGGCCCTGCACTCAGGGACCACTTCTGGTGAAACTTGGGGGACAACATGGGGTGCCAAGGATGCAACTTAGGTCAGCTGCATGCAAGGCAAATGCCCAGCTCACTATATTATCGCTCTGGTCTCCAAGTTAAAATATACTTAGGCCACTAGCATTATATTAAGCTTAAAGATACAGAGAAAAAACCCAGTTTTATGACTTTAATCCTAATAGTTGTTAAGCTATGTAGAAGCCTTAATTTCTGTACACAGATTATATTGAATTAAATCAGGCTTATTAAGAAGCCAAATAGACATGTAATCTACCATTTTGAAAGAAGTTCTACCCAAAAAACCTCAAATTAAGCAAATTATGAATAAATTTAAAGAGCACTTTAATTTTAAGCACATAAGGAACACTCAATTTAAGTATTCTTTTGTAGACCATGGACTTTTAACAGAAAAGAAAATGAAATGATTTTTTACGATAAACAGTACAAGTGTTCAAAGCACAAATTTAAATTTTTTATCCAACAAGGTAATAAGGGCTGATGAACATGGGTATTCTCACGTACAGTTAAATACTTTGAGAAGTATCTTTATGTGAAAAAAAAAAATCAAATTGTCAAAATAAGGAATTCTACACATATTCATACATGAAACAATACTAAAAATCAAGTTTTGGGAAGGTTCTATAACAGCAATAAACTCACTAAAAGAAGTTAAAAAGCCTTAGCTTTCTGCAACATCTACAAATAACTTCAAGTAGGTAAGTCTGCTTAGGCTGTTAAGCCTAAAAATTCAAAACCTTTATTAGCGGTCCAGTGATGCTAATTCACTTGACATCAGTTTTTAGGTTTATTTCCCTTCTCTCTCTCAAATGCAGCTATTTGGTTAAATATATTGAGTAAATTTTGAGGCAAATTTTTTTTAGTTCCACTTTCTGACTGCTCTTTGCTACTTGCTTCTTCTGGCAGTTCTGTTTTAACATCCTCCTCATAATTATCCTCTTTTTCATACTCTCCTTGATTTCTACTTAATTGGTATCTCTGCTCCTGTCTACTAAAATCACGTGATCCAGGGTAATTACATTTTTTGTGTTTTTCAACTGACTTCCATGAGTAGTCTGAGTGTGCGGGGGAAGGGGGGCACCTCGTGGACCCTGGCTCCCACCTCCTATAATGCTCTTTGCGTCCCTCCGTATCTTTCTCAAACCTTTTATAACCCTGTATTTTCGCCTTTTCCTCTGAATTCCTATAGCAGGAGTCTGAGGAATCTCTTCTGTAAGAAAAAGGTCTTTCTGATTTATACGACTTTTCAGATTTGCTACTACTTGCCTGATTTTTATAACTATTATAAAAATCTCTTGGATCTTCAGACCTACCTCCAATATCCTCCGGAATTTCTACTGAAGATGAAGACAGAGAACATCTATCTTTCTCTTTTACCTGTTTCTTTTGATATGGCAACCTATCCTGTTTTTCCAGTAGTTTTTCCACTTCATGTTTTTGGGTAAGAAAAGACGCTGAAGTATTGGGTGGAACTGGGAAGGAATCATCTTTCCTATTCTGATCTACCTGATTTGAGAGTGCTTTAGCCGAATGCTTCTTGGAGCTTCGAGAAGACTCCGAGCGATTCTTCTTATGTTTCTTATGCCGTTTGTGATCAGAAGAGGAAGTAGATGATGAGGAAGAAACGGACTCATCCCCAGAAGAAGAACCACTGGAAGAAGATGATTTTCTCCTTTTCTTCTTTAGCCTAAAAATTGTAGTGAACTCATCAGCTATGTTAGATTTTACTCTTTGTTCTCTTTAAAGACTTCATAAAAGCTACGGCAAGTCAGAGCTTTGTAAAATTCTTTTTCTCCCATTTCTTAGTCCCGCTTTTCCTCCTAACGATGCAGAATGGGTGAGTGCTGCCAGAAACACCTTGGATTCTTTTTGTGTTTGAATCTGAATTAATTTTTGCTCACTCTAAGTTCAGTGATCTTATACTGTTGCAGCATGTGTGTGTGTGATTCCCACATTTAATTGTGATCCTAATCTTAGATAAACAACCACCATCCTAGTTTTGAGCTTCAATTTTACCACTAGGCAAATCCATCGGTCTGAACAAAATGGCACTTAAACATTATTTTCAAAACTAAAGAACTCTGAACACAAAAAGAATTAAAATCTCCTATCTTATTATCTCTAATTTCTCTACCTCAGCACTATTGACATTAGGAGGTAGTAATTTTTGTTGGGGGAAAGGAGAGTGGTGGTGGTATTCTCAATACCATAAACTATCCGGCATCTCGCATATTCTATGCATTAAGACACCAGTACCAAGCCCCAAGTTGCCAATGCTCTAATTCTTTCTAAAATAAAAATATAGCATTTTAATTTTTAATTCTAAGGTAAATTCTCTTTATTCTGAAAAATCCTAGACTTAAGTTTAGCTTTGCTTATTCTCAAACAATTATTTGTGGAATACAAATTATTACACATTCTTATATATCCTTAACATATATGTTAAGGATTCTTACCAGTCACAACTTATGATTTAAATTTTTATTTTTTACTTACTTTACTTCCATATGGTAACTTTGGTTCAACTTCATAGTTGTTTTAAGTTAAAAAATACTGAACATTATAGTTTACCTTTTCTCCTCTTTTAAGAGCTTACGCAACTTTTCTGCACTTGTTTCTATTTTCTTTGTTTTCTGTTTTTCTTCCTTTTCAGCTTGTTTCTCTCTTAATTCCAAAGATTTCTTTTAGAACCCAGATATCAGAAAAAACCACACGTTAAAAATAGCAGAACACATAAACCCAGTTTTCAAAAGCCACCCACAACCAGGAAGCAAAGGTAGTATACCCAAATCACCATGTTTCCAAGTATTAAGTATTTTTAACATATAAAAATTAATTGTATAGTGTTCGGCATTAATCATTGGAATACCCAGAACAGTATTGAGGACCATATTGCAGTTGGTATTCCATTAAAAAAAGGAGACGTCATTGCATTGGTACCCATGACCCACAGCGCAGGAAAGGGAAAAATTAAAATTCACCAAAAATTATTTTTTGAAATGGAAAAATTAAAGCAGCACCGAATTTTATAAGTAAAATTCAAATACGGAAATCCCAGCAAGGTGATTTTGGGGAGGAAATCACCGTGTTCAAATACAAACCGAGAGAGAAATTCCAGTATGGTGAATTGGGGGTGGGGCGGGAGGTGGGGAGGGGGAATCATCATGTTCAAATACAAACCATTCAAAAAAATAGCACAGCCCAGTTGGATGCACGATTATACAAGAAATCATTTTCCAGTTTGAGGATGGGGAAGAGCAGCACCAGATGTCAGAGACACAGCAGCAACGGTCCAATTCATAAGAAGATACATGAAAAAACATCATCATCAGTATTACAGGAAAAGACAGTGTAAAAGGCTTCTCAAAACGATTTCACAATTAGCTCAAATACAGTAACAAAACTGAATCTTGTAACTAACAGGAGAATTTATTTCTGATATAGTTTTTAAGGCAGTAGAAATCTGATCACAGGACTATTTTAAAATTATTAACATAAAATAAGCATTATGAAGCCATGTCAAAACCAATTAGGAAAAACTATTTTTTTTTCCCTACAATGCCCTGAGTGATTAGTTTTTCCTTGGTAAGTTCTGGCATTCATTTCAAGTGTGAACAAATGTCTAAGAGGAAATAAAGAATCACCTGCATATATTTATGAAGCTTCTGCAAAGCATCGTCTGCTTCTTTAAAAGTCTCATCCAATGCCAAAGCTTTCTTATAGTAACTTTCAGCATTTAAAAATTTTTCTTCTTCTTCTAACCTAAATTTGAAAGGAAAATTCAGCATTTTTGAAAATTAAAAAAGTTCTCAAATGAGTATACAGGTCAAAGGCTTCTAGGAGAAAATCTAACTGGAAAAAATTATGTTTGTTGAACAATACCTAAATCACAAGCTTTTGGAGGTTGGAAAAAAAAAAGATGACATAGAGAACAAACAAAAAAACTCCACCAAACTCATAGATGGCAAAGAACAGACTGGTGGCTGCCAGTGGAGGGAGGTGGGTGAGTCCAGAGCCAGGAGTAAGCCCTGGACATAGTCCAGGTGTGCCCCCAAACAAAATAAAAGACATTGATTCATGAACCAGCAGATGTACATCTTTCTAGGTATAGGTATTCACTTGATAAAAAGGTAAAGTTTCTCTAATCAATGGGGGTCCTTGTAGAAGTGCTAGAGTTTAAAACAAACACTGCAGGTCCAGAGTGATAGCACAGTGGATAAGGTGCTTGCCTGTGTGTGGTCAACCTGGGGCAATCCCTGGCATCCAATATAGGTCCCCTGAGCCTTGCCAGGAGTGATGCCTGAGCACAGAGCCAGGATTAAGTCCTGAGCACCACCAGGTATGGCCCCAAAATAAAACCACCCAAACAGAAATAAAACAAACACTGCAAAAACTTGGAATTCTGGAATTATCACACAAATTGGAACCATCAGGCAAATTCATGATGAGGAAGAGATAACAACATAAAAAATAAATAGCAGAAGATACCATTAATTAAAAAGTGGTCTTACCAAATAGTTCATAACCGAAGCACTATTTTTATTTTTTAGCTTTAAGGTGTTTTTTTAAAATATTTTTTAAGGGGGCTGGAGAGATAGCACAGTAAATTAGGGCATTTGCCTTGCACGTGGCCGACCTGGGTTCGACTCCTAGCATCCCATATGGTCCCCTGAGCACCGCCAGGAGCAATTCCTAAGTGCATGAGCCAGGAGTAACCCCTGTGCATCGCCAGGTGTGACCCAAAAAGCAAAAAAAAAAAAAAAAATCTTTTTAAAGAAAGATAATTTATCTAAAAAACCCAAGACAAATCTGTCATAAATTAGAGTCACTACTATTCTATGGCTTATGTGAGGCTTATGTGAGTACTTTGGATAGTGATGTCAGTTATGTTCTCAATAATTTGCTCTGTCATTTAATTTGAATTTGTGGATTTTACTGGACAGTACAATGAATGATAGAGTATTACTCAAAAAATACTCAACAGATATTAATGGCACCAGAATGACAACATCAATTAGAAAATTAGATTCTCCATTAATGCAAAAACTTCTATTACATGTCCAGGAAAAGAATACTCACCTACTATCTTGTATCATTAAATTTATATTTTTATGTACTGAGAATGGATATGCAAACATATGAACTTGCAATATCTCTAATGAGAAAAGTATCGGTAATAAGCAGAAAAAGAAGACTAGAAATTCTTAACATTTATTCATCTATTTATTTTTTTGGCTACGCTTGGTGGGGCTTAAGAGACCACTCTCGGCTTGGTACTTGGAGAATCATTTTTGGTAATGGTCAGGGGACCAAATGCAGTGCTGAGATAGAAGCTGGGTGGGTCATACTACAATATGCCCAGTTTTTAAAGAGGACTGTATTTCTCAACCGAAACCGAAATGGAATGTTCAGAAATAAAAACATATTAAAAGTTTTACAGCAGCTAGTTGAATACTGAGAACTTAACTATTATACAGCAAAATCAAACACTTACTGCCCTCCTCTTTCTACAAGTGTCTGGCAGAGGTATTTTCTTGCATTCCTGTGAGTTGGACAGGTTTCTAGTGCAAGCTCAAAATCCTCTATTGCTTTGTTCAGACTTCCTTTTGTTGCATATCTAAAGATATGGAAATCGAAGTATTTATTTTGAGTTATTAATACATCTTCCAGATTTACTTTGTAAAAATTCCTCAAAACACATAACTCACAATGCTCCACGAGCTACTAAAGCTTCCACATTTTGCTTGTCTATTTCCAGAGCCTTATTGTATTCATTCATGGCATCCACGTGGCGTCCCACCTTAAAATAATCAACTCCAATTTTCACGCTGAAAAGATATTTTTTAGTGTTACAAATATTTTACAGTATATGAAAAATATAAGCATAATTTAAAAAAGAAAATTTGACTGTTTTGTTTATAATACTTTCAACATAAGCATAAGCTTCATAATATTTATAAAATCCACATTGCAATTATTAAATGCTTTTGAAGATAAAGACCAAAATTTAAACTTATGAAATTTAAACTTGCAAGTAACACCATTAAACCTACTAAAAAACTAATACCAAAAATGCACATTAATTCATTTTACAGAAAACTGGTCTTAACACGTACGAATGCTTTTAATCTTTTAAACTAAATGTGATTATTAAACAAAATCTTCATACCATTTCAAAGCCCAAGATGCAGACTGTTTCTTCCTTAATGCAGAAGCAAAATCATCTTCAGAGAAATTTTTGCTATTAAGAAAAACTCAAAATGTAAATACCTTTTGTGTAGCATTTCACTGACAAAAACTTAAAACTGAGTATACTGCAGTCAAGAAACTGTGTTCTGTTTCTAATTTTCCTTAAGTACACACACAAAATTCTTTTATATATATATTTTTTGCATGTTTCTCATAAGTTTTTTGGGCCATACCCAGTGGTGCTCAGGGTTTACTCCTTGCTCTGCGTGTAGGGATCACTCTTGGTAGTACTTGTGGAATTATTTGGGGTCCCAAGGATCAAACCCAAGTCTGCTTTGTGCAGGATTAAGCATCCTACCTACTGTGCTATCTCACCGGACCCCTGAACCTTTGTCTACATAGTAACACACTTCACATCCAATTTGAGTCACTAACATGAGACACCACATCCCAGAACATAAGGCCATTTCATATTTAATTTTTGGCACATGGTTGTCTCAAAAGCAGGACGGCCAAATAAGTCCCTCAGTGATGCAGTGTTTGAACCCAATACTATTTATGCAATTACCTGATAGAATAATATTGACTATACCTTTGCAGACCTCTCATTAAAGATGGTGGATTAGATTCATCTATTCCTAGTTTTTCCAGAAGGAATTCTACTACTCCTGGATTAACAAATCCCAAGGAACTCTCCATCATGTTTTCATAAGATTCCAAAGAATTGCTATTCAATTCCACACTCCTCCTTAAAAACAAAGCAGTACATAAAAATGATTACCACAATTGAAATTTTTTTCATTACTTGTACTGAAGCAAAATTATTATTGCGCATTTAAACATGTATACATTACTTTGTACACAAAGGTGTGGCACCATTAAGATTGTTGCCTTTACCAAATCTGAAGAAACTTAGGAATAATTAAGAAAAAAGTTTTGAAATAATATAAACAAAAATTCCACTTTGCTGCAAGAAGTTGAGCAAAATCAATTATTAAGATTTCCTTTTGAGTGCTAAGCATGCAAGACTGTGGAAAAATTACCTGTAGTGCAGAGGAAGTTCTTCAGAACTAATCACACCTAGTTTAGTAGAGGACAGATGTGGTGGAAGAGATGAATTATACAGAGAGACTGCAAGCTTTTCATGGTATCTGTCAATATCCTTGATTCCAGCTTAAAGAAAAACAAGAGAAACTAATTGACAAGACAATGCAAGTAGGCCTTCCAAACACTATGTAACAGATGACACTTTCAAAATTAATTTTTAAAACGACAGCTATTACTTCTACACAGTAATGTATTATGAAGTTGATCACCTCGAATGATGTCGCCAGTCTGGTAATACGACAAAGGATCCCCATGCTTACTGTGAGAAGGCACGTCTCTTAATGGGCAAAGAGCCTAAAACGAGAAGCACTTTAAGACACAAGAAACTGGGATGGGACAGTACGGGGGTTATGGTGTTTGCTTGCGTGTAGCCAAACCCCAACTGGATCCCAGGCACGGCACATGGTTTCCTGAGCAGTTCAGGAGAGCACAGCTGGGTGTGACCTCAAAACTCAATAAATGTAACAAGACATTCCAACCTAGGGTGAGAATTGCTTTTATCCTAGTTGCTTAGTGTCAACTTCTAATAGTTAACAGTCATCAAAAATACAACTAGTCAGTTGGGATAGCAAAGGGGTTATGGTGCTAGCCGTGTGTGGGGCAGGGGCAGGCAGACCCCATTAGATTCCTGCATCCAGTTCAGAAGCGCAGGGAGGAATGCGCCCTAAGCACAGAGTCAGAAGTAAGCCCTGAACACCTCAGGGGATGGCCCCCAAACCAACCAAACAAAGAACCAAAACTATCACTGGGAAGTGTAAATATAAGGATTTAAATGATCATTTCTGGGCCCAAAGTTCAATGAACCAAGTCTTCTGATTCGGTTCAAAAACTGCACTCTCAGGAAATATGCAACTAGTTTGAGGAACCAAATGAAACTACAGGATTTGAAACAAAAAGATGTTTTGCACTTGTTAAAAAACTGAATTTGTTCAGAGTATGAACAACAATAAAAATGAAATGTGAATTTTCCAAAACATGTTACCCAGTATATATATGTATATGTTTATATTTATATATATGTATGTATGTATGTATCTTTTAGTTTTCCTTCCATCTATCTTCCTTTAAATCTATCAGATCTTTTAAGGTGATACATTGTATTTCAGAACTATATGTCTTGGGCAAGATATTTTATTATAATGTACAAATCACAATAATGTACATGATGTACATAAATAGGACTAATTTGTTTCTAAATTATTCAATCAAATATTTTAGCAACGAATACGAAACAGTCCAAGAACACATTTAATATACAAAATAAGCCGAGAATATCAATTTCTCTGTATCCGCTGATTTCTCTTTTGAGCATTTAAAGAAGGACACCCATGCCCTTGGACACACAAAACCAAGAAATATAGGAGGAGACTATGTAACTCTCTTACTTTCAAGAAGTCTTTTAAACCATACTTTTATATTTCATTTCTATCTAATTATATGTCTGAATGCATATTTAAACACAACTGGATGCAGACAACTCTTGCATTGAGATACCAGAGCAATTAAGAAACTTACTGTGATTTCTAAGTGGGATATGTCTCTCATGATGCCACTGCCTAAGCAAATCAACACCATGAAAAACCCAAATTCCCGAATAGAAGTAATCCTTCCAATGACTATATCACCACGCTCAATATCTCGGAAAAACAGCTCTCTCCGATCCATACTTGGAATCTCCATGAACTGCTCCAAAGGTGGCATGACTGCATAGTGATCTGAAGAAAAGCAAAAGGAATAAATGTACTGCTTCCACCGAAACATTAACCAGATGGCTTTACGATGACTTAAAGACTAAACTCACCTTCACTGTCCTCGCTGATTTCAGAGGCTGCAGGTGCATCTGATTTCCAGGAAAGGGCAAAGAGGAGGTCTGCTTTCTTGGAAATGAATGTCTGTATCTCGGTATTGTCCATTCTCTTCTCCTTCCTTCAAAACAGAAACAAAGCGGGTGAAATCTGTCCGAGAGAGTCAGGTCAAGACTCTTCTTCCTGCAGGGCTGGGGGGAAGCACACCCGGCGATGCTCAGGGCATCGGGCCAAGGTTCTTCTGGCCGGTTTTCAATGCTCCAAGGGGTCCTAGTCAGGAGTTTCAGCGCCCCCTGAGAGTGCAATATAAACTTTTCTTTTTGGGGGTTCCACCCGGCGATACACAGGGGTTCTTCCTGGCTCATGCACTCAGGAATCACTCCTGGTGGTGCTTGGAGGGACCCTAATAGGATGATGGGAATCGAACCCAGGTCGGCCGCGTGCAAGGCAAACATCCTTACCCGCTGTGCTATCGCTCCAGCCAATATTGGTTCTCATTGATAAAAAGGTTCATACTGTAAAGAGTGGGTTAGACACACATATATCATATAAATAAATGCTAAAATTTAAAGCCCTTTGTGTGTGTGTCTTGGGGTTCCTCCTGGCTCTGCACTCAGGAATCACTCCTGGCGGTGCTCCGGGGACCATATGGGATGCTGGGAATCCAACCCCAGTCGGCTGCGTGCAAGGCAAACGCCCTACCCGCTGTGCTATCGCTCTGCGCCCCCCTCCCCCAATATTGGTTCTTATTGATAAAAAGGTTCATACTGTAAAGAGTGGGCCCGACCCACATATACCCTATAAAGAAAAGCTAAAATTTCAAGCCCTTTCTTTGTGCGTGACTGTGTGTGTTTTGGGGTCCCACCCCCGGCAATGCACAGGGGTTCCTCCTGGCTTTGCACTCAGGAATTACTACTCCTGGTGGTGCTCGGAAGACCCTATGGGATGCTGGGAATCGAACCCGGCTCGACGCATGCAAAGCAAACGCCCTCCCCGCTGTGCTATCGCTCAGCCCGCGCAATCTTCCTTTTTTTTTTTTTTTTTAAGCGAGAGCTTGGATCTCCAAAGACTAATGTTTAAGGGATTAAAAAAAAAAAATCTGTATTTTTCCACTAAAACAAACAACGGTGATCTGCAAAGTCAACCCGAGCCTCCTGAGTCTCAGCCCCAGGGAGCTAAGCCAGGGCTGCCCGGGGCAGGCGGGGAGGGGGCAAGTCGAGGCCCGAGCCCGGCCCCCGGCAGCTGCGCGTCCCGGTACCTGGCGGGCAGCGGCTCCCCCCGGCCGGGCTCCACGGCGCCCAGGAGGCTCCGGAAGTGCGGGTTGTCCTGCTGCTCGCTGCGCAGCAGCGCAAGCAGCGGCGGCCCGTGGTGGTTCAGCGACTGGCGGAGCAGGTCTCGGTCCATGGCGCCAGCGCAGCGGGCCCGCAGGCCCGAGACCTGCCAGCCTTTGCCCTCCGGCTTCGCCCCTCGCCCTGCCCGGCGCGCTGCGGCGGCCCCGGGCCGAGGCGGCACCGCCGGAAGAAGCCGCGCTCGCGCTCCGGGACCCGAGACGTCCCCGGAAGTGCGCCCCGGCCGATCTCGCGAGGCTGCGTTCGCTCGCGAGACTACGGAAGCCCCGCGGGCGGACGGGGCCGGATGTGCTGAGCTGGCTTTGCCAGGTGTGGCTCTTCCCCAACCTGGGTCTTGAGTTTTGAGCTGCTTCAAAGCAGGTTGAGACTTTCAGGCCTCGACCCACTCTATGTGCGTGTGCATATAGACTTTCTCTGGTGTCTCAAAGCTTAGTGCCCATCAGTCTTTGTACCCTTAGGACAAGACGCCTTGGGTGCTCTTTTCTTCTCTTTTCTTCTTATTATTATCAGCACTCTAGCACTGTCCTCCCGTTTTTCATCGATTTGCTCGAGCGGGCCCAGTAACGGCTCCATTCTAACACTTGTTGTTATTGTGTTTGGCATATCAAAAAATCATGAGTAGCTTGCCCCCCAGGCTCTCTGGGAGGGGCAGAGGAATCGAACCTGGGCTGACCAGGTTGGCAGTGTGCAAGGCAAAAGCCCTACCCACTATGCTATTGCTCCAGCCCATGTATTACCATAAATATTCATAAAACAGAATGGCAAAGATAACAAGTAATAGCACTGTCCTCCCATTCATCAATTTGCTTGAGCGAGCCCAATAACGTCTCCATGGTGACACTTGTTGTTACTGTGTTTGGCATATCAAAAAATCATGAGTAGCTTGCCAGGCTCTCTGAGAGGAGCAGAGGAATCGAACCTGGGCTGACCAGGTAGGCAGTGTGCAAGGCAAAAGCCCTACCCACTGTGCTATCACTCCTGCCCATGTATTACCATAAATATTCCTAAAACAGAATGGCGAAGATCACAATTAATAGCACTGTCCTCCCGTTCATCAATTTGCTCGAGCAGGCCCAGTAACGTCTCCATCATGAGACTTGTGTCTGTGGTTGGCATATCGAATATGTCACGGGGAGCTTGCTAGGCTTTGCCATGCAGGCCAGATACTCTCGGTAGTTTGCCAGGCTCTCCAAGCTTCGCTGGGCAGGCGGCTTGCAAGGCAAATGCCCTACCACTGTGCTATCGCTCCAGCCCAGATATTGCTATTTAATATTATTATTATTATTATTCTTTTGTGCCTGGGCTGGAGTGATAGCATAGTGGGTAGGGCATTTGCGTTGCACGCAGCAGACCCGGGTTCGATTCCTCCGTCCCTCTGAGGAGAGCCTGGCAAGCTCCCCGGGAGGTATTCAATATGCCAAACACAGTAACTGGTGCCCACTCAAGCAGATCGATGAACAACGGGAGGACAGTGCTGCAGTGCTGTTGTGCCACACCTGGAGATGTTCAGGGGTTGCTCCTGGATCTGCACTTGAGTTCTTTCTGCCGAGGATGGAATCCAGGTTGACTGCATGCACTATAAGCACCCTACCTGCTGAATCATCTCTCTGGCCCTGGGCATGGGTACTGTTATTTTCAAGGGAATTGTGACCCGCTTTTTTCCCCCACCTTATTAACTTGAGACCGTAAGTGCAGTGTCTTATTATAGTCTCATTTTAGAGACCGAGTCTAATAAACCCTTAGGATCTCAGTAAATTGTTCCTTGTTGTCCCTTCTTACTCAGATGGTCAAAGAGCTGGTTTAGGTCTCAGTAGCCTCTTCTTCTTCTCCTTCTCCTTCTTCTTCTTCTTCTTCTTCTTCTTCTTCTTCTTCTTCTTCTTCTTCTTCTTCTTCTTCTTCCTCCTCCTCCTCCTCCTCCTCCTGCTCCTCCTGCTCCTCCTCCTCCTCCTCCTCCTTCTCCTTCTCCTTCTCCTTCTTCTTCTTCTTCTTCTTCTTCTTCTTCTTCTTCTTCTTCTTCTTCTTCTTCTTTTTGTTCAAATCCAGCGATGCTCAGGGCTTACTCATGGCTCTCCACTCAGGAATTACTCCTGGCGGTGTTCAGGGACCATATGAGTTGCAAGAGTGAAACCCTGGTGGGCCTGGAACAAGGCAAACACCCTACCTGCTTTCTATCACTCTGGCACTGGTCTTCATAGCTTTTCATAGGCAAAATTGTTGAGGAATATTATATTGAAAGTTCAGTTCTAAATTTTCAACCATGCAGATTTGTTTCAATATAAAAATTGAACTTAATTTTTATTTGTGATATTTGTGACCTTAAATATGGGCCATTTCGTTTGGATATCTTGAACCAAAAGTAATTGCTAGTAGGTTTTTGCCTCCTTCGTCACTGGCTTTCTTTGATATCAATTAGCCCTAGACTATGGCATTGTCTGGACCAAAAATCCAGCTAGAATATAGTGTCTGTCCCACACTATTTTGTGAAAAATCCATGAGAAACCAAGACTTGAGGAAAAGTGCAATTTGGGATGCAAGACAGATCCAGAAAAAGACTATTAGTTTAAAAGATTAATTTTCAAACCACTATGGACCCACTGAGAAGTCTAATCAATGATTTGACTGATCAGTGATTGATTTGTGTTAACCTTTAACTCTAGAGAACGGTTTTAATAGGAAAAAAGTTGCTGCTTCTATAAAGGAAAGCTGGTCCCTGAAAAAGCAAAGATAAAGATATCCTGGTAAATAAAATATGATATATTAGAGTTGCTTTGTTAAGAATCTTATTATCCCTGGAGGGCTTGAGAACCAGATGCCAGACGGGAGCCTTTGCTTGAAAAATTACACCTTACGAGGCATTTATGATTAGCATAAGCCTTCATCACTAGGGTATCTAACTAGTTTTTCTAATGTTTATTACTGGGCCCGCTCGAGCAAGAGCAAATCGATGAACAACGGGAGGACAGTGACAGTGACAGTGAATTTTTTTTTTGCCTATGTTGGGGTGTCAGGGCTTCCTTCTGGTTCTATGCTCAGGACTTATTCTTAATAGTGCCGGTGTGTAATTGTGCTGGCATCACTGGACAGCTACATGCAAAAAAGTGGGCTCAGAACTCTGCCTAACACCATGTACAAAAGTAAGATCAAAATGGATTAAAGATCTCAACATCAGACCAGAAACCATAAGGTACATTGAACACAAAGTTGGCAAAATGCTCCATGACATTGAAGCTAATGGTATCTTCAAAGATGCCACGCCACTGGCCGAGCAAGTGAAAACAGAGATAGATAAAAGGAACTATCTTAAACTAAGAAGCTTCTGCACCTCAAAAGAAACAGTGAACAAAATACAAAGACAGTCTACAGAATGGGAAAGGGTTTTCGCCGAACACACATCTGACAAGGGGTTGATATCAAGGATATACAAAATACTGGTTGAACTCCACAAGAAGAAAATATCCAACCGCATCAAAAAACGGAGCAATGAAATGAACAGAAACTTTCTCAAAGAAGAAATCCAAATGGCAAAAAAGCACACCAGAAAATGCTCTACATCATTAATTATCAGGGAGATGCAGATCAAAACCACAATGAGATACCATCTCACACCTCAGAGACTGGCCCACATCCAAAAGAACAAAAGCAACCGATGCTGGTGCGGATGTGGCAAGAAAGGGACACTCTTTCACTGTTGGTGGGAATGTCGACTGGTTCAGCCTTTCTGGAAAACAGTATGGACGATGCTCAAAAAATTAGAAATTGAGCTCCCATTTGACCCAGCAATACCACTCCTGGGAATATATCCCAGAGAGGCAAAAATGTATAGTCGAAGTGATATCTGCACTTGTTTGTTCATTGCAGCACTCTTTACAATAGCCTGAAACTGGAAGAAACCTGAATGCCCAAGAACAGAGGACTGGTTAAAGAAACTTTGGTACATCTAAACAATGGAGTACTATGTAGCTGTTAGAAAAGATGAAGTCATGAAATTTATATACAAGTGGTACAACATGGAAAGTATCATGCTAAGTGAAATGAGTCAGAAAGAGAGGGATTGACATAGAAAGATTGCATTCATCTGGGGAATATAAAGAAACAAATCACTTAATCACTTAACTTCCCGTTAGTCGTCAATTTGCTCAAACGGGTGCCAGTAATGTCTCCATTTGTCCCTGTCGCGTGCTAGTGTAGCCCAATGGCATCTCTTCGCTCTGGGAACACGAAGGGCCTCAAACCGATTGTTCATGATCTTGACGAAGAAGTCTGACCATCTGGTAGGTGGGCGGCCACGTGGTCTTTTGACATCCCGTGGAATCCAGTCAGTAACAGCTCTAGTCCAACAGTCGTCTTTAAATCTCATTATGTGACCAGCCCGTCTGATTTTCGACACCTTGACAAATGAGACAGCGTCCCTGATCCTTGATCGTCGACGGATGTCAAAACTCCGGATTCTTTCTCTCACTTGAGTGAAACGTGATATTCCAAGCATAGCTCTTTTTATTCTTCTTTGGGAGACCTGAATAGCGTTCTCATCTTGTTTGCGTAGGGCCCAGGTCTCTGAGGCATATGTTAATGCAGGAAGAACAGTGGAATCAAAGAGATGTGCCCGGAGCCGGAAGTTCTTCGTCCTCTTAGCTATTTCTTCGACGTTCTTGAAGGCGTTCCAAGCCACTCTCTTCCTCCTGCGCAGCTCGGGTGCCAGGTCATTTGTCATGTTGACCTCTCGACCTAGGTACACATAGCTGTTGCATTTGGAGATGGTCGTTCCATTGACAGTGAATGGGGCATCAGGAACAAGGCTGTTTCTCATAAACATTGTCTTCGTAAGATTCAGCTGTAGTCCGACCTTTCCACACTCACGGTCAAAGTCGGCCAGCATTTGTGCCGCTTGGCTGATGTTTGGTGTTATTAAAACAATGTCATCAGCAAAGCGGAGGTGGTGTAGTTGCCAACCATCTATCTTCACTCCCATTCCTTCCCATTCCAGTCGTCGCATGATGTTCTTGAGGGTGGCACTGAAGAGTTTCGGTGAAATGGTATCACCCTGCCGCACTCCTCTCTTGACATCAACAATCACTTCTTTGTAGAATGGTGAGATCCTGGTAGTGAATCCGCAATACAGCTCACGGAGGATCCTGATGTATTGGGCTTGAATGCCCTGATTGGCTA